TCATGTGGAGTGCCCCGCCCGCAGGGCCAGGGCTGGACTCTGCCCCTGGCATTGAGCAAGGGCTGCTCAGAGGCAGCAGGGCGGGGAGTGGCCGTGGCCATGGCTGGCTGCCCACTGGCCCGGGGAGGGAGGCACCAGCTGACGGGCCCCACAGAGCCACTCAGGTGCTCATTTGCATGCTCTCAGTTTGTTTCATTGCTCACAGGTTGGTGCACTTCTCTGTCTTGATGTGGGGCTGCCCCCGTGTCCCTGAGGATGTTTGAGATGCACGTCAACCCCTGCAGGCAGCACCGGGTCTCTCGAGTTCCCAGGGCAAGCGCGCCGAGGGTGGGGCGCAGCCAGCTCCCCGACTGGCTGCAGCAGTCGGAGTCCCACGTCTGAAGCCAGCGTTGGCCTCAGCCCAGCCCTGCCTGCGTGGCCTCCCTGTGTGGCTCCTGGAAGAGCAGCTTCAGGAACCCTGCCTCCCAGCTGTCTTCCTTCCCCCTCTCCCTCTCCTATCCGGAAACAACGGCAGATTCTGTCCCAACACCCTCTTATCAAGGGGTGGCCCTGCGTGGCCAGGTCACCACCCACATGGCATAGGCGAGCTAAGTCACAGACAGGACACCTGATGGGCCTAGACTCACAGAATGCCTTGCTCGAAGGGACCCCTGGAGAGCGCCGACAGCAGAGGCAAGGCGGCCCTGGGGGAGAAGTGACTTTGCTCTGAGTTAAAGAGCGGTGGAGTTGGCATCGGAGCACAGGCTATCCACCTCTCCACTCTGTTCTTTCTGTTCCTCACTCACTCATCCGGCAACTCAGTCACTCAACAAACAATTGTTAAGTTGCCAGTCTGTGCCAGGCATGTACAAAGAATCAGCTGTCGCCCTCAGGTAGGCTGAGCTGGGGCAGCAAAGACTAGAGTCGTCTACCCTGGGCTCGATTTGTGCTGGAGGAAAAGTGTGCGGCCAGTGCCATGGTGGCACAGAGCAGGCTCTGAGGTGCCAAGACTGGCCCTGCCTCTTACTAGCTGTGTGACCTTGGGCAGTGTACTTAGCCTCTCTGTGCCTCAGTTTCCTCTTCTATAAAATAAAAGCAACAAAGGGGCTCTCAGGGTTACTGTGAAGACAAACTGGGTGCTACACGGGAAGTACTCAGAAAGGTGCCCAGCACATAGTAGGCACCTAACCAGTGTCAGCACACACGGTGAGTAATGCGCAGGGCAGAGAAATTAAGTCTGGCTGCCCCAGCCCAGCCTGACTGTGGGTCAGTGACAGGTGATTCTGTGTTGCCAAGGAGGACTTTGGGACAAGCTGGGCGTGCAGGTGGTGACCAGGTGCCTGGAAGACAGTGACATAGAGGTAGCTATGGGTCCTCGGGCAAGTCACTTCGCCTCTCTGTGCCTCAGTTTCCTTATCTGTAACACAGAGGTGGCGATAACAGCACCTGTCCCACTGGGTCATTGTGAAAAGGAAATGAGTTAAGAAGTGGCAACTGCAACTGCAGAAAGTGCCCCTGGCAGGGCGAGCGCCAGGGCGGGGGCAGCTGGCACCATTGTGGGGTGGGGGGTCCGGGGGGCGGGAGCAGGGGGCCTGCGAGGCGCCGATGACCAGGGGAGGGGAAGCTCTGCGTCTCCCCCAACCCTTCCTCTTCTGATATTGTCATCGTTTTGTTTAACTTTTTTAAATTGTGAGATGCACACAACATAAAATGCACTGTTTTGACCATTTTTAAATGTACAATTCAATGACATTAAGTAACTTTTCTCTCTAACCAATCTTAATGTGCAGAAAAGTTGCAGGAATAACTCAGAGAACTCCCCAGAGCCTCCACCCAGGCCCCCGCATTCTGCCACAATAGCCTCACTCGCCCCTCCACCCCCCGACCCCCGCCTCCACACCCGAGCTGTTCTTCCCGACCACCAGAGTGGGCCGAAACATCGTGCTCCTTTACTCCTGAATACTTCGGCGTGTGCTACCTAAGAGCAGAGACTTCTCTGAACGATGACCAAAGCCAGGAATTTAATGTTGGTATGATACTATTATCGCATACACCTTAATATATATTCGATGACTGCCGACAGTCCCGTAACAGCCTTCACGGCACACCCCTCCCATCCCGGGACCCAATGCAGGGTTGCGCATGGCATTTCGGTGCCACCTCCAAGCCCTCTTCTTTGCCTCAATTTTCTGAGGCTGAGAGAGGCCAGTCAGGAAATTCAGCACCCGTGGAGATGGACGCTGTCCCCGCCTGTACGATTGCACACTGAACTATGTCCCCCACCCAGCAGCCCGCTCGATGCCAGCTGCCTGTGTCCTGTGGTGAGTGAGTGGCACTCACCTTTCAGGTCTGTTTTTCTAGGGCTAATTTTAAAATGACTTTGTGTTTGCCTTCTCAGAACACCCAGGGTGAATGTAGTAGGGACAGCTAAATGAGCCACCAGAGCTTGCGGGGCAAAAGAGGGATGGAGCAGGGCCCCTGGGGTTTGGAGGTGAGGGGCTGCAGTCAGTTCAGTCCTGGGAGCTCCTGAACAAGTGAGGCTGGACTTGGGGACCTGCCCCAGGGGTGGCACACAGCGGAGCGCCTCAGCACCTGGAGCAATGCCGTGAGGTGGTGGGTGTGTCCTGGGGCCTGTGGTATGTGGGGACCTGAAGTAGCCCGAGCTCTGCCTGCTCAGGAGACAGACTTCCATCCTGACGTCTTGGGAGTGTGATGCGTTTCCAGAGTTCGTTAGGATCAAGGCGTGGGTGAGCGGTATTACTTCTCCGGTCCATTCAGTCCGTCCATCTCCCTCCTCCACCCGTAACTGTACGTAAGCGCTCGGGGTGACCCCGAAGGTGCTTCCAGGATCCCAGGCAGCTCAGATTTGCTCGTTGGATGTTTTCACATTTGTGGGGGTGAGGATGGATGACATAATTCTTCAACTAGCACCAGCTTCCTGAGTTAGGAATATTATCTCATTTGGTTTCCTCATAATGAGCCTGCGAAGTAGGAAGTATCATCTCCATTTTGTAAGTGGAGAAAATTGCTCTCAGTGATTTGCAGAAAAGATGACCTGGGAGGCCTAGGTTTGCACCCTGACTCTCGGAAGGGATTTGGGATAACACGGGTAAAGGCTCAGTGTAGGGCCGGCACACAGGAGGTGCAGAGTGAGAGTTAAACGTCACGTTCCCAGTCCTGCCTCGCCGCTGCTCAGCGGGCATCACGCTGCGGGCAAACTTCAAAGCATGACTTGTGATACGAAGTCTACTTTCCAATTGTGTTCAAAAGAGTAATCAGAGGTCTCAGCCTGACTTTGGAAGGTCTGGCCTCCGTCTCCTAAAAGTCAGAGCGCAGGTACTTCATGGGTGTGTGCGCTGGGGCGGCCGCTCCCTAGCCCTGCCCCTGGGTCGGAATCACTGGTTTGAGACCTGCTTTGGGCAGCTGTGTTCTGGTCGTGTGCGACAAGCAGAGGCAGAAGAAGAGACTTGATGGTGACTTAAGGCCGTTCCAGGTGGCGATATTCTGTAAGGATAAGAAGACATTTGTCACCTCCAAATGACCAAAGAATAACTTTGAGATTATCCTCGGTAACCCAGGACCTTGTGGATACTCGTAAGCCATCTGCCTTGAATCCCCCTTCTTGTACATTAAGCCACGAACCCCAGAGGTTTAGCCCATCAGCCCGTGAGTGAGTAGCCCGGTGAGACTGCAGCGTGTGTTCAGAGCACAGCGCAAGCGGTGTCATTGTTAGAAGGCGGGGTTTGGGGGTGCGCAGCCTGACCAACAGCAGCATTGGGGTGAGCAAGAACTATGCGAGTGGGTTGGAAGGGTGGTGGGAGGGGGTGCGAAAGCTTGCAGGATGGGCGTAACAGGTGAGTGGGAGGCAAAAGATGTCCAGGAAGTGGGAGGCAGGGTGGGTGAGGGCCTTGAATGCTGCCCTAAAATGTGCTGCAGTCTTCACAGGACGAGTGTGAGGACTTCGTTGACATATGGAAATATGTGTTTGGAGGAAAGAAGTGGAATGCAAATTAACGAGTACCAACCAACAGTGTGTAAACACATCACACCTGTTAGGCTTAGAGACCAGAAGCGCATTGCAGTGACAGAAATGCTCCGGTTTGCGGCTTCCTACTCACTTTTCCGTAACTGTAACTCGCCACTAAAAACTAAGGGTGAGCAGGAGACTGGGCCTCGGGGGCTGCCTTTTAACTCATGCACGTCCAACGGCCTCGTGGCAGATTTTTTGTTTGTTCGATCTTATTTTCTTTAAATGGAGGTCTAAGTCATACACCGCTTCATTCTCATTATTTGTGGGTTTTGTGTTTGGAAATTCACCTACTCAGTAAAATTTATCTGCTGCCCCCAAATCAATATTCCAGATGCTCTGGACATGAGTAGAGGCAGAGGGGTAAAATTTTCATTCCCCTGATCACACAGTTCCAGCCGAGGTGGAGTAAGATGACAGTTTACTTCTTGTTTCAGCCATCGCACTGTAAACAAGTAGCCTTTTCTGTTTAGTGCCATATTTTTGTATGTCTGTGCTTTTTGTTGGCGATTTCACCGTTTCCAGTGGGCCCCACGTGTAGCGCTGAAGTGCGGTCTAAGGTTCTTAAGAGCAGGAAGGCTATGGTGAGCCGCGGAGAGAAAACACGTTTCATTCAGGCGTGAGTTATAGTGCTGCTGGCCACAAGTTCTGTGTCAACGAGTCAAGAATACATGTTAAATGAGGTGTCTTTAAACAGAAACACACATTAAACAGTTATGTATTGATCCTTCAATGAAAATCCTGTGGCTACGGTTTGCAGGAACTTAACCTTTATTTCCCTTGAGGCAACTTTACAGATCATAATTGCCGTGAATGACGAGACCTGACTGTATCATAGCATTCAGCTGTTTAAACGAGCCCTCTCATCCTTAAGTATATTCTCGAGGCTGTGCACCCAACACCTTCGCAGCAGTAAACTGGCCTCACACAGCAGCGATTTAGGAATTGCCCGTCCCACCTTTCCTTGTCCCCTAATCTCTCTGCTCTCCTGCAGAATGCCCAGGAGAACCATGCACTGGCTGTGCCCACCCCCTCTGTCCCAGAAGACTTTGCAGACAAAGAAGTGACAGGTAAGAGGACCCCGGTCTTGAGGCTTGCCCATCTGTAGGCCCAAGTGTCTGGCCCACCCCCACCAGCTGGTGATAAAACTGGAGTCCCCAGGCTTCTTGGCGGCAGTGGGTGGGATTTGAGGAGAGCCAGGGTTGGGTAAAGCCTCCTTCCAGAGGGGCAAGGATGGTGCGGGGCCCAGGCCGGGCAGGACCAGGGGCAGCGGGAAGTGGGAGACAGAACCCTGGAGTTGGAAAGAGCCGGCTTTGAATCCCAGGTCTGCACACGTTGGCTTTGCTCCCTGGGGCAGATCACCTAATCCCTGGCACCTCTGTGTCTCCGTGTGAGCAGTGGGAAAGGCAATTCCAGTTGTGGGGAGCAGTGAAGTGCTGCATGGGACGTAAGTCACTTCTTGTCACACTTCTTGCTCAAAATCTGCCAGTGACTTTCCATGACACTCAGAAGAAAGGTTCTCGCCAGGACAGCCAGACTCTGGCCTCGCCTGGCCTCCTGGCCTGCTTCCTTTCCCCGCTCACACTCCTCCAGCCGGCCTGCCCCTGCGGCGCCCTCAACACCCAGGCATGTCTGCACCCAGGGCTTTTGCACAGTGCCTCCCTCTGTGTCGTCCACTCTACCCCGGACCTACGGACAGCTCTCACCCCTACTCCTTCCCTCTTTGCCCAGAGGTCACCTTCTCAGTGGGGCCTTCTCTGATCACCCTGTTCAAATGGCACCCCTCCTGGGTTTTTTCCTCAAATTAGCCATCCTCTGATAACGTGGTAATAATTTACTAGTGGATTGTGTTTGTGGTCTGTCTTATTGTCCCACTGCAACATAATGTCCAGGAGGGCTAGCATTCTGACTAATTTTCATTTTGTTTTTGTTTTGTTTTGTGTTACTGATGTGTCCTAGCTCCTAACACTTGGGATGTTACGATGTGGATGAGTGTTCATTTTCCCCTCCCCGCTCCCTTCTGTTCTTTGTCCTGAAGTCAGATGGCTGGAGGAGCCCCTCAGAGGGGCACGCCCCCCAGGTTTGTTAGGCTCTGTGCTAGAAACTGGGAGGAGGGGAGGCGAAAGAGGGGTGCCCTTAAGACAGAAGCAGCCAGGGCACCCTGGCGGTCTGCAGGCTCTAGGGAGAAGCGGGGACTGGGTTCAGGGAGGGCAGGGTGTGCGCGGCTGGCCTCTGGCTCAGCAGTTCTCTAATGCCAGGCTGCCCTGCTCACCTGTCTGCATACCCGTTCCCTCCCACAGCCAGTGTCTGTTCCACAAGTGCTCTCTGAGGTGGGGAGCTGGGCGTGTGGTAGATTCAGGGTCTTCAGAAAGCAGAAAATTGCTCTCTCCCAAACGTCTACCAGACGTCTTTACTGAGTAGGTCTGCGGGCCCCTGCCCTGGACCCGTGACTTCCTCTCTCTCACGCTCCCCGTCTGTCCTGCCCAGTCTGACATGTCAGGCATAGGTGGTAGTGACCAAAGTGACCAAAGGCCCACTCATGGAGGGCCTGGTGTGGGCCTAGCATATGATCTGCCCTTTATGTGGATTTATATGAATTCCCGTATTTAATCCTCACAACAGCTTTATGGGGTAAGCACTGATATTAAGCCCATTTTAAAGATGATAAAACTGAGGATCAGCAAGGTTAATTAGTGTGTTTAAGGTCACACATCTGGTAAGAGGTAGGGCTGAGATTTGAACCCTGGTCTTTCTGGCTTTATACCAGGCAAGGCCCCGGTAAAAAACAGACGGTGCCCTCACAGGGGGTGACTGAAGGGAGTTCAGTGAGGGATACGCCAGAGTGCGAGCAGGGCGGAGGAGGGTGGCGGAATGTGACTCTCAGGAGCAAATGGAGAGTGTTCAGTAGTCTCCGGAGGCTGGGCCAGCAACAGGCAGGCGTCCTCCCCTAGAAAGGGGAGGGTCACTCCCAGAACAGCCCAGAAGATGGAGACACTGCTGCTCCCTCACTTGGTGCCCAAAGGAAAGGCGTGACCCTGGCCAGATAGCATCTTGGTTGCCCACCCCACCGTGCCCTGGGCACACAGAGGTTGCCAGGGCTGGTCAGCCTCACACCTTTTCATCTTTGTCTCCCCCTCCTTCCAGGTACCAGCTCACTGGTCAACGGCAACCTCCGACTGTACAACTCTGTGGGTGACCTAAGGCCTGGGCACTATGGCCAGGACCCACTCATCCCTCCGCCTCCCCCAGGCCCAGCCCCAAGGCCACCCTCAGGGCCACCCCCAGACACCTCACAACCTCGAGGGGCATCCCCAGCACCACCTCCGCCTCCCAAGTCTTCCCCACCACCTGCTCTGCTGCTGGAGCCCCCGCCCCCACCCAGCATGGCCCCACCTCCACCCCCAGTATCGGGAGTCCTGTCCCCCCCACCCACACCCACACCCCCTGATTTCATCCCCCCTGCCCCGCCCTTGGCCTTTCTAGCTCCACCCCCACCCCCTATGCCAGCCCCAGCACCCCCAACTCCAGCGTCTCCTCACATGAAGAGCGCTCACCTCTTTCCCCCTGCGGGTGTCACCAAGTGGAAATCAGACATAGCCCTAAATGGCAAGCAGCCAGAGGCCCCCAGAACCAGCCCCCCCAGGAGCCCTGCTGAGCCGAGGGGGAGCCCTCTGGGACCTCAGTCAGAGCCCCACCTCACCTTTCCCCGTTCATTCAAGGTGCCTCCCCCAACCCCAGTCAGGACTTCATCCATCCCGGCTCAGGAAGCACAGGGGGCTCCTCCAGAGGAAGATGGGGCCACCAAGAAGGCCCCCGGTCGACTCCTACTGCCTCCCAACTTCCACATCCGCCCCGCATCCCAGGCCTACCCGGACAGGGCCCCTGAACCAGATGGCCCCGGGGAGCTCAGGGCTGCGGCGCCTGGCAGCCCGAGGCTGAGCCAGTCCCAGACCCGGACAAAGGAACAGACGGAGACTCTACCCCCAGCCTCTCCCCTGCCTCTTCCCACAGCCCCGCCCCCTCCGCCAGCACCCCCGCTCCCTCCACCAGCACCCCCCCTACCCCCAGCTGCCCCTCCTTTGCCCTCTGATGAGAAGGCAGTTCCTCCACCTGCTAAGGTTATGAGAAGCCCCAAATCCAGCTCTCCTCCCAAACCCAAACCCAACCCCCCCAGCCCAGAGGACACAGCCTCTTCAGAGCCTGTGGACTGGCGGGATCCCAGCCAGATGGCAAAGCTTCGGAGCGAGCTGGCAGCCTACCTCTTTGGCTCCAGGAGAGACGACCAGTGTACCAGTCACCGGCCAGGCCCCCCGGGGGTCTCTCAGGGAAAGGAGAGCAAGAAGAGCCCCAGCCTGCCTGAGAAGGAGGCTCCCTCCAGCCTGCCAGAGAAGAAGATCCCCACAAGTGATCCTGAGAAGAGTCCCCGTCCAGAGAGAGAGGCCACTGCCAGCCTGACCCTGCCCCCTGTGGACTACATGCCCCAGGACTCTCCGGCTCCCAGTGTCCAGCAGATCCGGAACGAGCTGGAAGCCCGGCTTTCCTTAGCAGAGAAGGAATCCAAGCCCAGCAAAGGGTCGCTGCCTCCTAAACCTCGGCTAGAAGGGGGAAGAGTCTTTGAAAACAAAGCTGACAATGGCCAATTCTCCAAGCCTGTGGCCAAGAATACGCCGCCATCATCCACCACCCCTCTGCCAACCACACCACATCAGTCCAAGGCCATGTCTGGGCCAGCCACGCCACCCAAGGCCACACCTGGGCCAGCCACATCTGGACCAGCTACACCTGGGCCAGCCACGCCACCCAAGGCCACACCTGGGCCAGCCACACCTGGGCCAGCCACGCCACCCAAGGCTGGGCCTGGGCCTGCTGTGCCTTCTGCAGCAACAACTCTGCCCACCACATCATTCCAGCAGGTAGCAGAAAAGAACCTAGTCCCCGCTGAGCAGTGGAAGAAACCAAAGCCTCAAGAATTTGCAGTGCCTTCCCAGCCAGAGGCAGAAGGGTGCCCCTCAGAGGCCAGTAAGCCTCCCCCACAGGGAGCCCTGTCGTCTCCAGCCCTCCCACCCAAGACAGCCCCTGGCAGGGAAGAGGGGGCGTTTCTCTACAGGCCTCATCGCAGCCAGAACAGCCCTGGCCGAGAGGTTGCTGTGGTGATGCCCACCATGGCCAGAGGAGAGGCTGCCACATCCGGGGAGCCTGTGGAGGTCAAGGAGCCCCAGGGTCTGCCAGCCAACCCCCCAGCCTCAGCCCAGCCTGCTGATGAACCCCTCAGGCACCCGGTGACCGGGGAGGTGGTGGAGCGGGGCTCCCCGATGGCCCTGCTCCTCGCAGCCAGACAGAGGGCGCAGAAGGGGCGGTCTCGAGCCGTCGGCCTGGGCCGGTCCTCCCTGCCGGGGAGCCTCCGCGGCCACAGCAACCCGCCCCAGGCCAGCTCTGACAGCATCTTCCTCAAGGAGGGCCGGCCCAACTCCTTCACTGTGGTCCCCAGGCTACCCACAGAGGCTGAGAAAGACCCCCAGCTGGCCTCCTCCGCACAGCCCACTGGGCCCGGCCTGTGGAGGGCCCAGCCGGACAGAGACCCAGAGGACAGAGAGCCAAGCCGAGAACACAACTGGACCAAGGCGGGGCTCCGGGCCCCTGTGGCCTGGGAAAGAGCAGCATCCTCCAACCTTCCCCAGGGCCGCCTGCTGCCCAAGTCCTTCTCCTCCCCTTCTTCCCCTTCCCACAAAGCCGAGGAGGAGAAGTTCAGCTTCGAGGTCATCCCACCACCGCCAGAGTTCAGCAATGACCCCGAGCCCCCAGCCTCCGCTCTGCAGTATCTGGGTCGCCTGGGCTCCCCTCCGCGGAACAAGTTCTCAGACTTGGGGCAGCCCCTGGACGTGGGCCCCGCGACCTCGGCGCGTTTTCCGGCGGGTGAGCGCTACTCCGGGGCCGGAGGCCTGGAGCGCTTCTCCAGGGGGAGCGGCTCGCTCATTAAGAGGCGCCTGTATGTCGGGGAGCCCCACCGCAGCCCCGGGCTGTCCCGCGGGGGCACCGGCCGCAGCCTGAGCTCCCCCAACTGCTTTGGGCTGCAGCCCGGAGGACCGGAGGTGCGGCGCGTCAACTCTGCAGGCCGAGCGCGTCTGGGCAGCCTGGGAGCACGGAGGATGTCCCTGGAGGGCTCCACTCGAGTAGAGGCCAAGTTCAAAGCTCCTGGCAAAGCTCCCACCGGCGACCGAGTTCTCCCCTCCGCTACAGCTACCGGCAGGTGAGCCGGGGGGCAGGGGCGATGGAGGGTGGTGGAGCGGGGGCGGCCTGGGCTGCCAGATGCGGTGGAGACTGCCCTTGGACCAGGCCTGGGCCATCAGTCCAAGACATGTTTTGAGGACCCAAAGGGCAGGGAGACTCACTTTACCTACAGAAGGTGCTCCCTTTAGCTGCTTCCTCATCTCCCTCGACCTCCCTTGTTCTTGCTTTCCCCATCCTGCTTCCTCTTCTCCCTCCTCTCTCCCACCTGCTGGAGTCCCAGGGCTTCAGGTTTCCGGGTGGAGGGAGAGCTGAGTGGTCCTGGGGTGGCAGGATTTCCCGAGAACACAGAAGGATCCAGAACCAGGCTCAGAGCCAGAAGGGCTCTGAGGAGATGGCTATGAGTGTCCTCTGTGGCTCTCGGGGCCTGGACAGGAGGGGGAGCCCTGGGTCTGATAAATCGATATTGGCTGACTGGGGTCCCAGCTGAGGCTGGGGCTGGTTAGCCAGCTGCAAATTCATCCCACTTCTCTCTGCTCCCCACCAGGTCTCCCCGAAGCACTCCCCACTATAGAAGCCCCATCAACACGTTCACCGTGAGGCCTGGGACCCGCCACCCCATCTCCTACGCCTACTCAGGAGCCCATCGGAACGCCCCGTCCTGAGCCCAGGGTTCTGGCCGCTCTGCTCCAAGGGCGCAGACGGGGCACTTGAGTTCATGGGCTCGGGAGGGATGCAGCAGCTTGACCCAGACACAGTCTTTGCTCCCCAAAGGCGGGGGATGGACAAGGAGGGAGAAGCAGTGGCTCCAGGAAGATCAAGAGCGGGCCTCTGGGTCCCGGTGTGCTGTGGACTGTCTGTGGATGGGGGTGGGGGGGAGGAAGGGGAGGAGGGGCCTTCAGGAGCCTGGAGCCTGAGTTTCTATCTGGTACTATTTGCTTTAGCAAGGCTTATTTAAAGCAGTTTTACAAGCACAGCCTACCAAACAGGTTCTAAAAGCAAGGGGTGGGGCATTAAATTCGACTGGGGACCCATCTTGGGGTGGCTCTGACTGCCTGTCAGGCCCTCACGAAGGGCTGACCACGTGGGGGTGCAGGGCACTGCAGGTTGACCTCTCCAGCATCTACCTGTTGCCACCCCAAGAGGTGATTCCTGGGCCTCCTAGCACAGAAGGTGGGGCTGGGAATGTGCCTGTAGAACATGTAGGGCAGGGACCAGAGAGTGCTTTTCATTGATTGGCCAAGGGCGGGAATGGGGACCTGACGGTGGTTTGTTTCCCTCTGGCTCTGGCCTTTGCTGCAGGGGGGCCCAGGGAGAGAAGCCGTGGCAAGTGTGAGGTGGGGACAGAGGATCGAGGCTTACTTCCCTACTCAGACCCAGGCAGCCGTGACTTGGGGATTGGGCTCGAGGGTCAGAAGGCCCGGGGCTCAACACCAAAGGCCTTCAAATGTATGGCCCGGATGCAGTAAGGCCATGGGGAGTGGCAGGGAGGTGGCAGGGATGGGAAATGTGGTCTGTGAGATCCTGGCTGCCGACAGGGAATATCTTGGAAAGTCAAGAGTGGGAGGACTGGGCCAGTGCAGAGCAGGGGGCCTGTCCGTGAGGGGCCATTCGTCCTATGCCTGGGCACACCTGGTTTATGCTTGCTTCGCAGTGAACGAGACCCCCTTCCACTTCCAAAAAAGTCCTGGTTGGGATGACATATGGTCCCCAAGCATCTCAGGAAACAATGTTCCTCAGCCTGTCGTCCCTGCCTTCAGGTCTCGGTGGGCTGTGCGGCCTTTATGATTTGTGGTAACCTGCCAGGGTGCCAGTTCATGGGGACAGCAGGAGCTACTTCAGGGAAAAAGCGTGCAGGGCTGGGCGGGCACCTCGGTGGGGCAGGACTGGTTACCGGTGTTCAAGAAGCGAACCTCACCCCAACGCTGTCACTAGTTCTATATGTGTGTATGTATTTTCCCTGTACAATGTTTTATAAAAGAGTTCACTAATTTATCTGCTGTGTTAGGGAGGGGTGGGGCCGTAGATCGCTCTGGGGTGGGTGGGGAAGGACTGGCTCTCACTTGGCTTGGGAACCGAACAGGCCAGTTGGGATAGGCCTCCTGCTCTGCGGCTGCCACAGGTTGATGACTCGGAGCTCCTGGGGCTCCGTGATGAGAGAGAGGTTCAGAGAGCTCAGCTGCGGAAGGCTGAGCACAGGGTGGTGGCTGAACTGACTGGTGAGCCATTGTGCTGGACCTAAACTTTGTCTTCTGACCCTTATGTTCTCTTGTTCTCCAAATCCGTCAAGGGAAAGGGGCAGAGCTGAGGCCTGGAGATAACAAGCTGCGTCCTTAAGCAAGTCTCTGTGTCCTTAAGCAAGTCTCTCTGACTCTCCGAGCCTCTGTTTCTTCTTCTGTACCCTAGGCATGATAATAATACCTACCTCATAAAGCTGTGTGAAGATTGGAGACAGTCATGAATTTATTTAATGAGTATTTGAGTGACTACTAAATGGCAGGCCCTATGCGTAGCATGATGCACAGCAGTCAGCACGCTGACAGGACTGCTGCCCACAGCAAGGTTACAGCCTAGTGGAGGAGAGCGGGGATGAAAAGAGCCCACGGAAACATCATAAGTTACAGTAAGCAGGAGGAAGGGAAGGAACAGGGCGTGTGAGAGCAACTGGAGGGTGAGGGAGAGAAGTGGATCTGCTTTGACTGGGCAGTCAGGGAAGGCCTCTTGAAGTGGTGACATCTATGCCGATTTAGGCAAAGCATCCTGCATATGAACAGCACTCAGTAGTTGCTCAATAAACTGCATCTTTGGGTGATGACTACTTTACACGTGTGTGTGGCCTTTCATGGTTTTCCATGAAGCTTGGACATGGTACCTGCAACTTTTCCAAAAGTGGAGACAGGGAAGCAGAAAAGTCATCTCAAGGTGCTGTCAGAGGCAGGGTTGTGTTTCCTCCTCTGGGTCCCTTCTGGGGCAGGGGGTTTGTTGGGAAAGAGAGACTGAGGGGGTGGCTCCCTGATTCAGCAACTTCTTCCAGGAAGGCTTTCTAGGCCTCCCCCATCCTGGGGCTTCCTCACCCACCTTTCTCACTGTCCCCCACCTCCACCATGGCATCCTTATCTGGTTAACAGGGAGAGGACAGGAGCCCCCACTCCCAACAGAACTCGGGGCTCCCCCTCTGGCTGCTCTCCCCTCCCCACCCCTGCTAAGTCTGCCTTCCCCTCACCTGACCTGGAGGGGATCAGCAGGGAGTAGTGGAGGGTGGGGGATCAAGGCCCCACGTCTGGCTCTGCCTCTGACAAGCTGTGTGAGCTCGGGTCCTCGCTAACGCACATCCAAATTGACAGGGATAGACTCGTACTGTCTGTGGGTCTTGAACTTCGTGGGGTGCCAGACCTCTTTAAGAGCTACGGATCCTCACCCCAGAAAGATGCCATCACAGGCATTTTTACACATTATTCCAGGCGCTCCACAGGTGCCCCCAAACGGGACTCCATGGACCTCAAGTTGAAAAATGAACGCAACGGTGTTGGTAGCCACAAACACTTAACCTTGACAGTTTGGAAAGTTCACTTTTGTCTTGTTTATTCACAACGATCCTCGAACCCCTTATCCCATTTTGTTGATGAGAAAAATCAAGGCTCTGAGAAGAGAAGTGAATTGCTCAGAACAGCCACCTGCCTCCAAACTCTGCACACGGCATTGCCGCTGCCTCCCTCGGAGCTGCGTCCATTCTCACCCACCACCCCTCCCCATCCTCCCCAACAAAGGTTGCATCTGTCTGTTAGAGCAGGGATGGGGAGGCTACGGCTAGAAAGGGGAGGGTCAAGCCAATAGAAAAGGTTCATGGGAGCGGTAGGTGCCCGAGTTCCTGGATCAGGTTGCCACACCCTGGTTTCTGGAGCCTCCACACTGCTCCCTGGGTGCGGCCCTGGGTGTGGCCCAGGCCCCAGTGGCCAGCGCCCCACCTGTCTGGTGAAGCCTGGCCAGGCCCGGTGCAGGGGCAGGTCCCAGGCAGCCTGTGCTAGAAGCCAGGGCCTGCTGCCCGCGATGCATGAAGGGCCCTGTCCTCCCGAGTGTGGCGCCGCTTTCCTTGGGCCCCACTCATCTGGGTGGAGAGGCCTCCTCATTGCTGGTGAGCTTTGAGCTCCCTTCTGTGGGAAGCTGTCAGGCAGGCCTGCCCCTGCCTGCTCACCCCACCGCTTGCCCACCCCCGGCGGCCTGTGGCCGCTTTCATCTCTGCAGCTCAAAGGCAGGGCTGGCGTCCCATCATTAGTCAGCTGCCCGGGATGGGTGGCCACTGGCACCAGGCTGAGAACCTGGGCCTCCTCCCTCCGGAACCCCAGGGAAGGCCAGCTGCCGCAGACCTGCCGTTGGAGCACCTGGGGGTGTTTCTGGCCGTGAAAGTGAGATAAGGTGCATTTCTAAGGCGGGAGCAGAGACCAAGGCCATGCATTCTGAAAGATCCCTCATTTCCATGGGCCATCCTGTGCCCACCGCCCAGTGCTCAGGGCTATTCCTCCCCACCTTCCTGGAGAACTGTTCGCTGAGCTCCCACAGAACACGCTCTGATCCTCTCTGTCTTCCAGGCTGGCCCCCTCCCTCCGCCCAGGAGTCTCGGCATCTGTGCTTGGTCTCTGTCTTCCTTCTCTGCGGTTTCTTCTTCACAAGACTGAGTTTTGCCCCCTCCTCACCTGTACCTGGGCTGCACGTGTCTAACTTGGAAGTGCCCCCGGACATTTCCATATGGACGCCTGGCCAGCCACCCAAATTCAGCCTCTCCAAAGGCATTGTTCTCCTCCTAGTTGCTTCTCACATCATTGTGAGACCCCACTGCCCCCAAAGTCTCATGCCCGCATACTGCTTGGGCCCCTTCTGCTTCCTCAAGGCCCAACTTAGATCAAAGGTCCTGCAGGAAGCCACCCCCCAGCCCTGCTCTACTCAGAGACACCCACTCCTTCTTTCACACCTCTGCGCCCATGCCCCTGGCTGGCTCCTCCCCATCCTTCCAGCTCAGCTCAGGCACTCCTCACCCCCAGGCCACCAAAGGCTTTCACAGCCGTCTGGTCCCATTCCCATTGGGGTTACTGCTCCCCGTCTCCCTCCCCCAGTTTGTAAGCTCCACACCCCAGGGAACGCCTGTCATGTTCATCGCAGTATCCCCAGCTTCTAGTGCTGATCCTAGCACCAGAAGGTACTGAATGTATGTTGAATGAATAGATGTTAGTATTTTGTTGAGTGAATACATGTTAGTATTTAATCAAATACTGTTGAGCATCACTGAAGTTTCTCAAGGGCAAAGGCCATGTCTCCCATGGACTAGTGACCACATAGCTCTCTTATTTCTAGAAGTATGTGACCTGACCTAATGCTGAGATTCTCAGATGACACAAAGTTATGACTTGAAGGATGGGACCGAATGTTCCTCGCAAAGGTGTCAGGAGCCTTGGAGTGGCTCCTGCCTGTGATCAAGCGGCTCCATGGCCCAAGCACAGAGATAAGTGCTGCCCAGTATGCCAGTAATTCCCAAAATGCAGCGTGCCTCAGAAGCACTGGAGAACTTGTCAAAACACAGATTCCAGGGACTCGGTCCCAGAGCTCCTGATTCAGTGGGTTTGGGATGGGGCCCAAGAATTCACGACTCCAACAGGTTCCCGGGCTGGGCTGCCAGTCCTGAAAGCCCAGGGAGCATACCCTGAGTGCTGCTGCTGTGCAGTATCCGGGTTATTCCGGGAAAGCTGGGAGTGGTGGGCCCCTTCCCAGGCGAGGTCGCTCTGGGCCTCACCAAGAGCTCGGGGCATGGGGTCTCGGCAGCCCTTGCATAAGGGCTTTTGTGTGCTGCAGGCAAGCCAGCCGCCTGCTCCAACCATCCAAAATATTTGTGCTCTGTGTTCACTGCCTGTTTGACCTCCTTTAGTCTTCAGTGACATGTTTGGTGTGCCAGCCTGTCTCACCTGTGCTACAGGGGCCGAGGAGGGCGTTGCTGCCCAACGTGGGCCAGAGAATGAGAAGGAACTGCAACTCTGGGGCCCAGGTGGCAGCAGCCGGGACGACCTCCCTGCTCACTGTCCCTCCCGCCCTGGAGAGCCCGCCCTCAAGAGGAAGGCCTGCGGGCCTGGGTCTTGTTCCCTTTATTCAGCTAGCTGCGGGAGGGAGGGATCTCTCAAGTTCCCACCTCAGCACAGGATCGTAACCCCTGGTGCGGCTCCCAGAGCCGGGGCACCGCTGGCACCTTCCCTGCGGGACGCTCCCTTCTCGTTCCTGACAACGGCGTTTCTTCGACCTTGTCTTCCCCAGACCTCACTGCGGAGGCCCAGCTCCTGCCGCTTCTTTTCACTGTTACCTAGTTTTCCCGAGCCACTTGAAGAGGGTTGGGTAGGCTCGCGCTTTCCTTCTCTCCCCGACCATCCTATCTGTGATCTCCCTGCCTTTGGGCTCAAACAATTTGTTCCAAATACCTAAGGAGAGCACAGAACTCCAGCAGTTCCTTTCAACACTGCTAGGTGGTGCTGCTCAGCACAGGCCAAGGAGCCAGGAGAGAGGCTCCGGTGCGGGGACACACACACACACCCCAGAATATAAAGCAGGAGAATGCAGTGATGTTCTCCACCCCGGAGAACTGTGACTGTGGTGACGGAGGTGACTGTGTGGGACCCCCGTGGCAGCACACGATGAGCGTGGCAGAGAAAGGAGGGCTCCTATTTGCTGGCTTGTTTTTCCTACAGAGTGTCCAACATGCACTCGGTAAAAGGTACCAGTTGTTACTGACACAAACACAAACACTGCTGTTGTCTTCTGGTGACCTCTCTTGGCCATTTAAAGCTGCCATTGACAATCTCTTAACCTGGCGCCTCCAGGGAGAGTGGAGGGAAGTGAGGAGAGGACATCTGCGTAACTTGTGCTCATGTCCAGTGCTCTCTCCTTGCTCAGGGTCCCTGTGTCCCTACCCGAGCCTTGTGTGTGCCTGCAGGGTGGGGCTGTAACCAGCAGGTGGCGATCTGCTCAGAGGTGCCTGACCTCCAGTTTAGGGTCAGGTTCAGATTCAGCTACAGTTGATCAAGCGGCTCTATGGCCCAAGCACAGAGATAAGTGCTGCCCAGTACGCCAGTAATTCCCAAAATGCAGCGTGCCTCAGAAGCACTGGAGAACTTGTCAAAACACAGGTTCCAGGGACTCGGTCCCAGAGCTCCTGATTCAGTGGGTTTGGGATGGGGCCCAAGAATTCACGACTCCAACAGGTTCCTGGGCTGGGCTGCCAGTCCTGATGGCCCAGGGAGCATACCCTGAGTGCTGCTGCTGTGCAGTATCCCGGTTATTCCCCCCTCCCCCGCTACCCCGACCCACCTGCTCTGGGTAGGCAGCACCACTCCCAGCTGACCCAGGAAAAAGCTGAAGTCCTGACAGGCCAAGAGACCTCACGGAAACATGGTGAAGTCAACTGCATGGGCTGCTCTGCCCTCTGCCACAAGTGCAGCATGCCTGGTAAGTGCCTCTCAGATTCTGCCTGCCCACCCTCCGTCCAGGGAGGGCAGTAAGGAGAGGGAGCAGGCTTGGCCTCAGCAGAGCACTGAGATGGGGCACTGTTAGCCTGGGAGTAATTCTTTGGGTGTTCTAAGTGCTTTAAAAGCACTTTCACTTCTATTTAAACCTAGCCTCATAATACTGGCCGATAAGTGCTCAGGCCATGGATACTGTGCTGCAGCCATGACCCACCCCCTCCTTTCCAGGACAGAAGCTTGGGCTCTCCCCGCAGCCAGCCAGGAGAGGGCTGTAGCTGACTGCTCTGGGCTGAGTCTCCCCACCTGAATGTCCTCTCCACCCCAGAGCCCCCCAGCCAAGGCCCGCCCACTCCCTGGGGCAGCCCATATTCTCAGACAGGTCTTTCCCACCCTCAGCACAGCTCTGAAGGGTCATCATGGCTCCAGGGCAGCCAAGAAGGTCCCCCCTCTGGCCCACCCCTTCCTTCGTTTCCTTCCCCTTACAGGCGTGCATCCTGAAGGCATTCCCCAGTTAATGTCCCGCACACAAAGCTCAGTCTCCTGGGGAACCAGGCGTGTCTCAGGCACTGTTCTAAGCACTGACACATATTATTTCACATGATCCTCCCAACAGCCCCAGGATGTGGGTGTTTTTGTTACCCTCAGTTAATTCCTGAGAAACAGAGGAACAGAAAGGCTAAGTAACTGTCCCGAGGTCACAGAGCTGGCAGGTGGCAGAGCCAGGGTTCCTGTGCAAATGGTCAGACTCCGGAGCTCTGAAGTTCATGTGGCACAGCACTCTTCCAGAACATTCCTGTGACCTAGCCTCAGGGAAACTAAACAAAGGAAACAGCTTGAGATATATTCTAATATGAGGGGTAAAGTCTCTGTTGCCCCCAATTCTTCCCCACCAGCTCTTTGCTGGTGCCTGAGCATGGACACCTGCTGCTTAATTTCAGTTCAGTGGTTCTTACCAGGGGGCAATTTTGCCCCCTAGTAGATATTTGGCCATGGCCGGAGACTTTTGGTTATCAGACCTGGGGGGGTCCTAAGGGTCTTTAGGAGATCGAGGTCAGGGATGTTACTAAGTGTCCTGCAATGCACAGGGCAGCCACACGCGAATACAGACCAACACGTCAGACGGAGAATCCTGAGATCTAGGTTAAAGCCTGGTCTCAGATAGAGCAGGTGACTCCATGGGACACTGTGGCCTGGCCCTCTCCCAGTGCAACGGCTACTTGGGAGTGGGCTTCCGGGAAAGTGGTCAGACACACTGGAGCATACAGATGGAGGGGAGAAGGTTTGGAAAGCAAACCTCCTACCTCACAGTCCTTGAAGAACAAGTATTATCCCGATTTAACAGGTGAGGAAGCTGGAGCTCCGAGAAGTTACAGGAGTAGAGAGAAGGGAGAAACTTGATGGCCCAGAGATTTCTCTCCCCCTCTTCCCCACACTCGCAACCCTCAGCCCGGCATGCCCCCGTCAGTGGCAGACGGTACCCAGCAGCTCTGTGCCCTTGGTTGGCTTTAGTTTCCTGAAGGGATGGGGTTTGGTAACTCTCACTTCCCACCAGGCTGCACGTAACAATGGGCTTTCTTTCTGAATATGGTTGGATGGGAGCGGCCAGGATGTGGAGGGAACAAGATGGCGGTGAGAGCGGACTGGGGCCAGACGGCTGGACAGATGCCCCTCTGACAGGCTGTGGGCTCCTGAGGTTCTGTCAGAGCCTGTCGGGGGTGAGGGAGGGAGGCAGTGACAGCTCCCACAGTTCCCAGAGCTGAGGCCTGACTTCTGGGCAGCAGAAACCTCTGCAGTGAGGGGACCCAGGCCATTTCTGGGCAGGAGTTTCCTGGGGTGGGAAAGGTGCCCATGTAGACCACGTAGACCTCTCTCTTCCAAAGAGGCCAGAGCTACAAGCTCCTCAGACTCAACATCGGAAACAAAGGTCAAGAGCACAGCCCTCTCCCCTCGCCCAAGTCTCCCCTCCCCCTCTGGCTTCTAGGACACAGTGAAGGGGCAGACTCCGGTGCCCCTGACGCTGCCGTCCCTGTGTGTCACTTCCACTGTCAGGACATGTGCTCAGGCCATAACCCAGCCCCTGCCCACATCAGGTGACCACATCTCTGAGGAAGGGAGGCAGCTCACCTGGGAATAATGCCAGTGCCAGCCATGAGAGTCACACCTGTCCTCTCTAATGTCACATCTCTCAGAAGCACCTTCGAGGTATTAGCTCACTTTCTAGTGAGGCAGATGAGATTCTGAGCCTTCAGTTCCTTGCAGCCAGTCAGGTGCAGGACAGGGGGCCCTGCAGACCTGCCAGGCTCCGAAGGCCAGCACATTCCCTCTCCCCACCACAGTGCTCAGCATTCAGAGGTGGGAAGGGGGATGACAATCTCATGGGAGTGAAAAGCAAACCTGGGAAATTCAACCAACATACTGAAGATGCAGGATGTGGTGTTTGTACACCGCCCCTGTGTATGGGCGACCAGAGAGCTCATATATTTACTCAAAGGCTAGCTTTGCAGGGACACGCAGGAGCCCAGGGGAGAGGTCATTTCCAGGGTGGGCCTTGGGGTGGCAAGGACACAGTATGAGGAGGAAGAGCTTAGTACTACTGTTTATTCTTCTGTGCTTTTTGAATTTTGTATTGTGTCCATTTTATGATGCATTAATAGAAATATTTAAAACAGTGCTGGCACATAGTAAGTGCTATATAAATTTCAACAACTGTTATTATTTTTTAAATCATATAAAATTATTTGAGGGGAAGAGACCCTGGAAGGGAGAGCAGATCTGGGGGATGGGGTGGAAGGCTCTGACCCAGTCCAGGCAGAGGAGCTGGAGGTGGCTGTAGAGCCAGGCTCTGCTGGGAGAGGGGACCAGGTTCCTGGGTGCTTCTGAGAGCTCGGGAAGGATGCAGGTGACCCTCGTGCAAGCTGGGACACACTACCTGACAAGATCCCAGATTTTCCAGAGCATTCTGTGAAACCAGAGAATGGCTTCAGGCAAAGCCGTGATACCTGTGGAGATCGGGCTCTGCAGTGAGGGCCTCTAACGGGAAGGACAAAGGGTTTCAGAGGGCCTGTCAGGGGCCCTGACCTCTGGGTTGGCTGAATGACTTTCCAAAGGCTGCAGCTGGCCCTGCAACATGGGCCGTTGAGACGGGGCCCAGGGCCAGGTGCTGCTGTCTCTGATGAGTGTGGGGGACAGCGTCCAGCACCAGTAGAGGCTGGAAGGTGTACAAGACCTGGGTGTGCTCACACATGTGTGTCTTTTTTTTTTGCTTTAATTGTCCTAGTGGAGATTGGCCACCTGGGGACAATTTGGGAGCTTAAGACACAGTCTAATAATTCTCCAGAATATATCTGGCCCAAAAGACGTGGGGAAGGGGGGAGAAAAACTGCTTTGCTAATTCTATTTGGATTTTCAAAGGAGGATGACTACGGAGGGGGCAGCTTCTGGCACTGGAGAGGGATAGTGCGGACAGGGGAGCAGCTTCATGTGGGGTAGCCCTCCCCCCTCAAGAACGCAGCACTTCAGAAGGAACAGTCACTTCCTGCCTGCGTGTGCACACCGAGAGTTACTGAACTGAAAGGGTGGGTGGGGGCCCCCCGCACCTCAGGGCAGTGGGGAAGGCCTGTTTGGCGTGGTGCTGGGAGTGCTGAATTGTAATCACGCCGTGGAGAAGGTCACTTCGGCACAATAGCAGAAACACAAACTCAAGCTATCCTAAAATGCTGTCTCCACTTACCAGACTGGCAGAAGATGGAAAGTCGGATCACACGCTATGCTGACCAGGGTGCGGGCTCTTCTCCCTGGAGGGAAGCTGAACAAGTGCAACCCCTCTGGGGGGCACTTGGCATTAGCTACCAACATGTGAAGTACAACTGTGGGCTAGGAATTCCACTTCTAGAAAGCTGGCCTACAGATATACCAGCAAAATGGCATCATGTCACTGCAGCATTGTTTGTTGGAAATATTCTCAATTTATCTGAACAGAGAAATGTTACTAAATTTGAATAAGACACATGAAGGAACACTCTGCAGCCATAAACACAAATGAGGAAGCTCTTTATGAACCAATGTGGAATGAACTCCTGGAGATATTAAGTGGGAAAAACAAATGCAGAAAAGTATATGCAGTATGCTACTATTTGTGTAAAAAAAAGAAAGAAAGCATGTTGTCTGTCTGTACTTGCTGTGCATAGAAATCTCTGGAAGACACCTCAGAAACTGGCATCACAGTTTGCCTGTTTGGAGGGGGCCAGGTGTCTCACAACAGCCACGCAGTCCGTGAGGGTTCGGTCCCCTTTAGGCCCCACCCACCAAGAACTGAGCCAGGCCTGCGCCCTCTGGCGGCAGGGGCCGGAAGTGCACGGGAAGGAGCGGGGCTCAGAGCCCAGCCATTCAGTCATTTAGTAGTTTGGGGACCTCACACAAATCACTAACCACTCAGTCCATGTTTCCTCTCTGTCAAGCAGTAAAAATACTACTGGTATTAATAAGTGAGATGATACACGTGTAAGTGGGGGTAAATGTTCCACCTCATTAGGTCATTGAGGACGAACAGACAATCTGTATGAAGTGTCCACTTAGCACAGGACCTGGCCTGTAGCAAATGCTCAGTAAACAAATTCGTTCCCAAATACCTCTCGGCTTCTCATCTGCACCCTGGTCATGATAGGATCAAAATGCAAACTCCCTCGAGGCCAACGCAGCCCTTAGGGCGCGTCTTTAACCTGCGTTCCCACGCTTAGCCGGGGCTCCCCCGCTGTGCTGTGGTCTCTCTTCTCTCTGCCTGGATTGTCCTCCCTCCCTCTGTCTGGCCTGGTCGGCCTCCAGGGCCCGCTCGCAGGTCACTGGCTCTGGGATGCTCCTCCTGAAGCCCCAGCTTGAAAGGAGTTTGTGTCCCTTGTTCTGGGGTGACCCTCTGCAGGACGTCACCACACCCAACGGCGATCACTTCCCAGATTCCGGCTGATACACACACTTGCTCGTCGCAATAACGTGAATAGGAAGAGACACTCAACGCCACTCAGACAAAACCAAAGCAAGATAACATTTTCTACCTGTCAGATGGCAAAGGTCAACAAGTGTTGAGACCCTGAGGTGGCAGAAGTATAAGGAAACCGGCACCGAGGTCAGATTGTGAACTGATCCACCTTGTGAGAAGAATCTGGCGACATCTGTGCAGCTGGTGGGTGCAGTGAAACGACGCATGCGCACCGCAGCTCCTGGCGTCTAGTGGGAAGTGGCTCAGGAGGGGCAGGGACCAGACAATGGAGCACGGTTCATCTGTGAGACAGAGCTGAGGCACTTTTTATTACTGACGCGGAGCCATCGCCAAAAGCTACACTGCAAAATGAGAAAAAATACAAACATTTTATACGGTATCTGCCATTGTGTACAAAGGGGAGAAAGTGTACACTAGCGTGGGCATTATTGCAAGAAGAATGCAAAAATATACTGATCCCAACACAGTGGTAGCCTCTGGGAGCGAGAACTGGGAGTCTGGGAAGCAAGAAGAGGAGGATGCTTAGTTATCACATATCTTTTCTCCTTTGAATTTTATACTGTGTACATACATTATCTATTCAAAACCAAATAACTTTTTAGTAAAGTAGGAGAAGAAAAGCTCGTAATAAAATGGAGATGAGGGTGAGCCAGTGGCTCCAAGAGGAGGAAAAGACTTTGAATTTGTTTCCAGGAGTGGGAGCATCCGCGGGAAATCTCTCCCCTCAGGCCAGCTGCCCCCACTTGCACCTGTTGATATTCAGCAAATTAAAAGCCATGTTTCAGTATGAGCCTGAATAAAACAGAAGAATGATAAACCCACTATCAGTGGTGGAAGAAAATTCATTTAAAAAATGCATAACCAAGTTCAAAAGAAACAGAATTAGAATTTGGGGCCCAGGCCTCTTTCATGATGGCAAACAGTTGATAAGCCTTGGGTCATCCCTCTTGTACCCAAAACACAGTACTTCTAAGGGCCTCCGAGGATCCTGGCCCTTCTGTTTAAAAGCCTCTTGGGTCATCAGGACTCACCTGGGTAAAGCAGCTGGAGCAGGGCCCTTCCAACCCTGGGCCCCAGGGGGCATTGGTGGGGAGGACCCCAGCTCCAATGACCCCTTTCCTAGGGCAATTCTGGTCTGGAGCCACCAGACATGCTCCCAAACCAAACCTGCCTTGCCAGGGCACAATCCAAGGGCCAGAGCCATGGAGGCAACCTTGGCCAGCTTTACAAGGGAGAGGGCTGGTTACCGTGGACACCAAACTAGCCTAGAAAGAGAAGACATTACAGGAGGGTCACAGGAGCTCTGCTGGGGCAGGTGGACCTTGGGGAAGTCTGGTACCTGGGCACCTGCGTCCTCTCAGGCTGGGTCTCCCGCCCTCCCGCCTTCCCTCAGGCCAGGTTGGCCCACCCCTATGCCTTACTCACCTCTTCCAGAAGCTTCTCTTGCTAACCCCGCCCTATTCAAACCTCAACACAGGCTTTTGCCCTTAAGTTGTCTCACCCTACCTTCTATTGCAGGTGTTCCTGGTCCGTGGTTAAGTGGTGGTAAACAGGTTCCTGTGTTTGTCTGTCTCCCTGACTACAAGGTCACGCCCCAGGGAAGTGCTCGTGTTCCCTCCCTCTCCCCTTGGGGCAGAGCTCAGTCTGCAGGAAGCAGTCACTCCTCGGGGCTCTCTTGGGACCAGGACTAACCTCCCCCCAGTTCTGGGGTGGCTGGCTGTCTTCCCAGTTGAATCATGTTTGCTAAGTGCCAAACTACATGAAACTAACTGAAGAGAAATAGTGTCTCTCACGCCCCCTCCAGCCAGAATACCACCCAGCAGCCAGAATGATCCTTACACAAGCTAAATCAACACCCGTCACTCCCTGTTACACATTTCACTCTGAACAACACCCACCCGTGGCCTTACTCAGGCCCAGGATGCTTTGCCCAACGTGACCCCTGCTCCTCCCTAGAACCCTCTCTCACCTCCCTCTAGGCACTTGGCCCTCACTGTCTAGGGGCACACACACTCCTGCCTTAGAGCTTGTGCTCATGCTGTTCCTTCTCCCTGGAATGCTTTTCCATGTGCCTGATTAATGTATTCAGGGCCCTGCTCAGACAGCTTTCCCTCCCCACCCTTTCTAAAATAGCAACCCCTTTGGCACTTAGCTCCTTCTTGCATCTGCCCCTCCAGATCCACACACTTCTGCCTTCTCTGACCTGCACACCACCCTGGGAGGCTGGCCAGGTGCTGCAGGCCTGTGTCCTCCGGCTTCCAGCAGAGAACAGGCAGGATACCAGAGGTGGGAGGGAGAGTGTGGTCATGGTGTTAACTCCTGGGCTGGTTCCCTCTCTGCAGGGTTGCTGTGTGCTGTCTGGCCCCTCAAGGACCCAAGACCTAGCTCCTGGCAGACTCTCACATAGGCCTCTCTCCATGTTCTGGTAACTGCTCCCTCCCCTCCCTGTCACTCACCCAGGTACTACACGATCCCTTGGATTCCCCTATACCTTGCCCACTTCTTTGGAGGTAATGCCTTTATTAAACCTTTCTCAATTACCCAAAGGACCCCATCACTTCTCTTTCAGGGCCCCAATTCACCACCTGCCACCATGTACCTGTCATCTGAGCTGTCTGTCTCCCATCTGGACTATTAGGTCAGAGAAGTTACTGCCTTTATTATATCTGTGCTGTATCGCAACATCTGGCTCAGTGTCTGCACAAAGTAGGTTGATAAATGTGTTTTGAGTGAGTGAATGGGGAAGGGAAGGATCGCTGTAATCAAGAGAGCACATGGGGGCTGGAAGGAGGGCAGGATTGTGGGTGAAGAGCACTGAGGACGGCACAGGTGCAGCAGTGATAAGAACGCCCCTTCGAGCGTGAAGACCCCCTTCTGTCCTCTTAGCACCTCTCCGCAATCTGCAGTGCGTTTGGGTTTGTTTTCTTTGTAGGTCTTCCCACTAGAATGAAGCCCCTGGGGGCAGGGGCCACGGCCTGTCTTGTTCACGCTGATATCCTTGGAGCTTGGCCTAGTACCTGGCATTCACGGAAGCCACCAGACCTGTATTTGTTGAACAAATGGAAGAAATATGAGTTATCCAAAAGAAACAGTGAATTGGCAAGGGATCCTGAAGGCCAGATTGAGCCATTTGGATTTGGAGTGAAGAGCAGTAGGGAAGAACTGCCTGCAAGTCCTACTGCAGAAAGGAAAGTGACAAAGTCGGAGGCTTGCAGGAAGGAGGGCCTGGCAGGGGACACAGGCTGGGGATGAGCAGGGAGGCTGCTGTAGCACCAGACCAGCAAGGAAGGGAGAGGTGGCAGAATCTGGTGACATGAGGGAAGACTCATGTGCAGCCGGAGCCTGGGTGAGACAGGCTGTAAGGCCCGCAGTCCCGGCCCACGTGGAGCACTCCAGGGCCACGGCTATTGGCCTCCGTGTCCAACTTCCGTCTGCAGTGGGAAAGCTGGGGAGTGGGGGAAGTGTGGATCAAACCCACTCTGACCATGCTGCATGAAAAGTATAAGCAGACGGCTCAGTGGACAGCAAGCGACGGATGGATGGATGTGAGGATTCCCGAGGGGGGAACAGCTGGAGGTGGAGGAGCAGATGAGCCATGTCATTGGCTTGGCAGAGGAGTCTGGGAGCCATGTCATTTGGGACCATCCACAGCTGGTACACTAACGGGGCGAGCCAGCCGGGAGGGATGCCAAGAGGTAGAGTAACAAGGAAAGGAGGGCAATGTCATGGCAGCCAGAGGAACAGCTTTACAGAAGGGGCAGCCAACAGGGTCACAGGCCAGAGGTGAAAGCCAGGTTGGACTTGGCTGAGGGCCGCATCCTAGAGGAGCCCCTGACTTTCGGCCTCCAGGAGCAGCCAGGAGAGCCAAGGGTGCCAAATTAGGTGGCTTCAGCGTTAGAAGGGGGTTTGCTCATGTCCTACCTGGCATTCTGGGCACATGCTCTGAACCTTGTTTGTGACAAAAGTTGCCAGTTGTCCTCAAAATCCATTCTTTCCATCTTTCTGTGGTGACAAGGCCCCCAATTTTTACCCAGACCCAGAGCCTCCACAGCTAAATTCCACATGTCCTTGCCTTGCGGCTTGGTGGGGCCATGTGGCTAAGAGGTCTTTATGGCCTTCAGGCCTCCCTTATACACACCGCCCTTCTCTGTCCGTCCCCCGATGGGGATGGGGACCCAGAAGGTGGACATAAGCATTACCCAAGGTGATGGAGGAGTCATGAGACAGGAGAGGGCCCCATTAGGCCACCAAGCCAGCCTGGACCACCTACCCAGACTTTCAGAGAAAGCATACATCTCTGTCTTAAACCACTATATTTTGAGGGCTTTTTGTTAGAATAGCCTAACCCATATTGGACTGCACCATTCGATTCAGTAGAAATGCTACCTCAGTTTAGATCAAAAGTTGTTCCAGCTCAACTCTGCCAGGGGTCCCAAGGGTGAGAGGCCACTGACATTTTCCTTGACAAGATCCTCGCTCTCTATGCATAAAGGAATCCTTGTCTCCTTAATAATCTGTTACAGATCCATTACTCATAAACTGATCAAAAGCCTTCCCAAAAACTTTTGTCCCCTTATCTGTACCACGAAGGAATGGATGAGCGCAGTGATCGGCAGTGACACCACTGATCTCCATAAGCGGTTCCGTTTCTATCTAGTTTCCTTCCGCACCTGCAAGCCGAGGAGGCCACGGCTGTGTGGTGGGGTCACCCGGACACAGAAGTGATCGATGCATCTGAGGAGAGGCATGCGCGGTCACGAGGCAACAGTGTGAAAAGTCAGTAGTGTGAACCCTGGAGCAGACGCCTGGGTGTGCACTGCAGCCCCCCCTCAGCTACAGATGTGAACAGTAAGAACATCCACTTTTGAGGTAATTGTGAGGATTACATGAATTCATAAGTGTAAGACACTTAGAACCGTGACTGCAACAGTTCTCAATTAATATTAGTCTTTATATGTAATTTTAAAAGCAACAGAATTGAGGGGTGGGTTTTGGGGGGGAGCTAGGTGTGTGTGTAGGGGTGGGGGGATTGAGCAAAAAAGAAAAAAACAATAAAAAACTTACTGACATGGAGAACAGTGCGGTGATTCCCAGGGATGGGGGGTGGTGGTGGTAGAGGAGGGTATAAGGGAGATCAGTGGGTGACAGAAAAAGGGGTGAACACATCATATAGAGTACAGATGATGTGTTGTGGAATTGTGGCCCTGCAACCTGTGTAATTTCTTAACCCAGTGCCACCCCAAAAACTTCAGTAAGAAGGACAACTGAAGAGCAACAGAAAACAACAACGGTGCAGCACGGGGAGAACTGTGTATGTGGCGCTCAGCTGCAGACGTTCTCATGCAGTCCTCCCGTGAGGCACCACGACCACCCCACTGCACAGAGAGTGGGGTGGCAGTTCAGGGACCTGCTCCCGTCCCACAGCTGGCAGATGGTAAATACCAGCCTTGCCTTCCCGAACCGCCCGGCCTGGCCTCTAAGCAAAGGGACTTCAGGGGTCCAGAAATACGAAGCCACTTTTACGCTTGTGTCCCCCAAAGCCCAGACCATTTTGTTACCGGTTCCTCAGACAACGCCCGAGGGGGCCTGCGCTACCGGGCACTTGCTGTGACTGGACTGCGGGGGTGGGCGCCCGGACCCACACGTGACAGAGCTGCACGGAGCTACGCGCACACACAGGGAACGGTGAAATCCGAGCGAGTGCTGCGGGGCACACCAGTGCTGATCTCCAGCTTCGATCCCGTGTTTATAGAAGATGCTACCGGTCAGGGAACTGGGTAGAAGGTACGTATGCCCTCCCCGAACATTTCCATCTGCAGCACTCTGTGATTCTATAATTATTTCAAAATTTTAAAAAGTCTACCAGAGATGCATAAGGACATATTTATAGATTAAATGACAAAGGTCTTGGATGTGCTTTAAAAAATACTCCAGAAAGATAAAGAAAAAAAAAGTGGGAGAAATAGATAAAACAGAATTGAAAAGATGTTGGTAAGTGTTAAGGCTGGATGGAGGATATACAGGGAAAATATATATACTTTCCTCTCCAATTTTGAGTTTGAAAATGTCCAAAATAACATTTCACTTAGCAGGGGTACTCAGCTAACAAAAGGGCTGCGCCTCACTTCCCTGCTTAGAGCCTTACTCACTGCTGTGACTTCTGAAGACAAGATCAAAGCTTATAAAATTGTTCTATTTACAAAGTTTTTCTCATGACCTTTTATTAAGAGCTTACAACTCACATTCTTAATCTTATTGTATTTACTAGTTTTTTCCTCCAAGAACTCCCCCCAAATTATAAAAAATAGAAATGTGTAAATATACGCTGAGGAGCAGGCACAGCTTTTACAGAACAACAGTCCAGCCAGTGTTTCTGGTTGTCCAACCGTCTCCCGGCATCTCCTCCGGAACAGAACCCCCGCAGCAGCACTGGTGGCTCTTCCAAATCTCGCCTTCTCCCTTAGCGCGGGGCACTCACCCACCGAGCGTCGGTTCTGAATGGCAGCAGCAGGGGGGGCTGCGGGAACACTGACAGGGTGACCGCTCCCAGAGCCGGGAAGACAGCAAGCCGGGAAGGTTTCCTCCTGCCTCTGCCGAGACTCCACCTGGGACTGCAGTCAAACTCAGCAGACCAAGAATCACCAAGAGCCGACCACAAACTCCCAGGGTCGGCACTGGCCCGCCTGACTGCTTTCCGTGGGAAGAGTTTCACTCAGGTCACCATAAGCCCAAAAAACTCGCATTTGGTCCAACGCTGGGGAACCCACTTTTCTCACTGGGATCCCCTCTTCAGTTACTGACAAGCAGCCCCTTCCTTCTGAGTGACGTATGAAGTGCCCTAGAGAACAGTGAGGCCAGAGGGATGTGGAGCCTGCTGTCAAGCCACCGAGTTTTTTGAGTTTTCAAGTTCACCAAGAGCATGGAAGATGGAGAGACGATGTGGGGGCCAAGTACAGGAAAGCTCAGCACGGACATCAGGGCGCCTGCCCAGGGAACGCTCCGTCTGCCCCATGACAACCTCCAGGCCTGTTTCTTCCCGAGGCTTGGTTGTTAAATCTCTTCCCTCGGAGACCAGCCCAAAGGGATCAGCTCGTCCAGCATCGTCCGTGAGCACTTGTTCTTTGATCTGTAGAGCACATGAAGGATGAGATCTCTCCCCAGGAAGCAAAGAGGTTGAACAGATTCAGACCTGCTTCTGGAAGAACACCTGGCCTGGCTGCTGGCTCCTCTCAGCGCACTTCTGCATAAGGTGCGAGCGTGGCTTTCTGGCCCTGCCGGCAGCCCCCCCGGCACACCTGCCTGGCTCCTCTGCTCTCAGGGTGCAGGGCCCAGCCTCCGCACCCCATCAAATCCCTTTCCTGCTGTTTACACTGGTGATTCCTCTATCCAGTCACAGCACAACGTATCACTGACAGAGGCTCTTGTCAGAGGAAACTCTTCCCGGGACGGGACAGGCCTTGGTAGTTCCCCAGCACACATTCCAAGAGGGACAATAAATGATAAATGTTCCAACAGAGTTGCCTTGTTCCAGGGCACGCCCATCAAAGGCTGATGAGAGACTCAGCGCACTGCTCTGCACCTCTCCTCCATCTTATGTTTCTGCTCCCACCTCCCGGTTCCTGCCGGCCCCAGATCAAGGGGTGACGTGTGGGCCTCCAGTCCTGAGGTGAGGGAAGGCAAAGTCACCTTAGGTCAGCTCAACAGGGCACTTGGAGCCCAGGTGAGGAAAGACAAAAGGAGGTTCTAGGATGATACGCTGGTGCTACAAATTGTCTGTGAGTCAATAATAGGAGTCCTAATAGCCTGAAACAGAAATAGGCAAACAGTCTTTCTGGCAACAAGCCAAGAAGGCACCGAACCCCTTCTTTCCTGCCGCCTTCCCTGGTTTCAAAGGAATCAGGTCCTGTGACAATAAATGAAGTTATCGGCTGCTCCTATGCCCTATGGTACAACCTGGTTGGTTAAAAAAGCCTCCTATTATTACCATCATATCTTCCTCAACCCAAACATCCAGGGAAAATAGGAAATCTTAACACAGAGTTTGCTATTAAAATCATGTCCTGTCACACCGCAGCAGCCTCAGCTGGACCGGGGGAGGCCACCCTCGCTGCTTCCCTTTGAGTGACTTCAACTCCCTCAGGAGGGTGGTGTCCGCATCTCTGTACAGGACAGGCTTCCTCCTCAGCTCACGAGAGAGACCTAGAAAGAAAAGGATCCCATGGAGCCTGCCTGGTGGGGCCCCACCTGCTCTCCTTCTGGGAGGCAACAACTCCAGGGCTGGTCCCGGGGCACCAGGAAGCTCAACATGAGAGGTGCACACGGGAGGCGAATAAGGAGAGGAAAAGGGAAAATACTTCCTCTCGCTACAGTAGCTCTCCCCAAGGCTCGGACCCACTGGTGAGCCTCTATTTTCTGCCCAGAAGCAGAGAAGACCACTCTTTGGCCAGAGAAGCCTCTTGGCATCCCCTCTTCCAACTTACTTCTTCCTGCGGATTTTGGGTTTCTTCACAGGGCGCAGGTAGGGGTTATCGATGATGTTCTCGTCCCCGTTCCGACTCCCCGACAAGGAGGGGTTCTGCTGCAGGACAGAGGTATTCTCCTTCTCGGCTCCAGAATCATCCTTGGAGCAAAAGCCAAAGTAAAGCAAAACACCAACAGCACAAGGAAAGAGATTATAAGAACCACTGGCGTCCTCTCACGGAGGAATTGGAAGCTCGGGGACCACCTTCTTTCTAAAGTCCCTATCTCTGCCCTGGACGAAACGAGGTCCAGGCAGCGGCTGGCTGTCAGAGGAAGGCGAGGCCAACAGCTGAGCACAGTGGAGCACAGAACACAAAGCCCTGAACGCTTGACAAGGCAGGGACAGGAGTCACAAAGAATGGAGACCTGGGAGGGGCAAGGGGCCCGGGGCTAAAATGTTGGTGCTCAAGAAGGAAGCCCCACCTGTGGGGAGATGAAGAAGAGAGAAGTGAGCCTGTGTGCTTTACAGATACAGGGTCAGAGCAAATTGCACACAGAGGGCCCCTCCTGAACCAAAGCTAGTGTAAAGCATACTAGGTGACTCCCCGCCCTGTTTTCTCACACATCTGGTACTTGCAACATGGTACCAATGATGATACTGCAGGAGATGCCAGGAACTTCTTGGGCCCTGAGAGTCCCACCAAGGTGAAGCGGAGTGCCAGCACCGGCAGAGGAACACCGCCGAGAACCCTCATCTGCAGCCTGGGAATCAGGTCTCTCATGGTGTGGTTTTTGAAGAAAGTGATGTTGCAGAAAAGTTTGTAAGTCTGCACATATTCAATATGAGTCCAATTAAGAATTTTTAAAAATCACTATTGCATGTAAACACAAAAAGTTTGTATGATGAAATTTTAAAAACTGGTTCTGGGTATAGGGTGATTGATTCCTCTTATTTATGTTCACTTCTAATTTCTAAGTTCTGTAAAATGAGCAGAAGCTGCAGGGGAAGGAGGGCAAAATCACACGATGAACTTGACCTGGAGCTCATTCCTAAGTGCTGTAAGTGACCAGAGAAGCTGGTTGGGCTGTGCCCCCTGGTGACAGACCAAGGGTTCTGTCACTGAGATTTCTGTTCTGTAACTGGAGGCAAGGAGGAGCTGACCTCGACTGGAGAGTCTGTTGTAAAGAGACAGCAGGGCAGAGGACACTGCGATCAGCGGGCAGAAGACGAACAGCAGGCTCCCGCAGACACCGAGGGCCCAGCAGGCGGGCAGCAGTCCCAGGCTCGAGGAGTCTGAAGGGACTGGATCACTCTAGGTCCTGCTGCTCATTCTCAACTGTCCTGTCAACTGTGTCCTCCCCAAACACCCAGTCCCGTGCAGGACCCCTGTGCTTTACCCCTCCCCACCCTGATCACGTGGGACCACAGGTGACTCAGAGCAACCACGGACCTTCTGGAGGCTCTCCTGAAAGTGAGTGCCCCAAGGTCAACCCAGCTCATGCCAGACACAAGGTCTACAGCCTCCAGACCTGCCTTGGACATCTGGCTGCTAGCTTTCTTAAAGTTCCTTATGGCTTAATTTAGAAACCATCCCCTACCCATCTCTAATCATTTCTCTATGGTCAGTGCCCTATCTTTAGAGTTACTGGAAGTTCACGTCGACTGTGCCTTAGTGTGCCTGAGATAAGGACGGAGGCGACACAGGAGTGCTGGGACGCCAGCCTTGCACCTCTGCTGGAGGGCAGGGAGGCTCCCTCCCTTTGGCTCCCTGTCCACAAGGCCAGGATGTGGGTCCCAGTCATGAGACAACAGCTTTTCTTCTCCCAAGCAGAGTTTCTGGAAATGCCACTTCCTTGCCTCCCTAAGAGACAGGTAGCCTTGAGGGACAAGAGTAAATAAAAGTAGTCAAGTACCAAAGCGACCGTGACTTGTACAAACAGTGGGAACAGAAGGGTCTGCCTGGAAAGGCCAGACTCAGGTGATGCGTGCGTGCTAACAAGCACCCCCCTCCTGCCCCCGACAGGGTGACTGCATCCAGTCCCACGGCCTCAGTGCCCTTTCCACACCACAACTCCCACCCACACGGGCCTCTCCCCGCCTCACCTGTCCTCTGACTCCAGGCTCACACAGCCACAGCCACGGCCACTCAACCTCTCCACTTGAGTATCAAGCAGGCACCTCACGTTTAATGTGCCTAAAACTGAACTCTGGACCCTCCCCTGTGCACGAACAGCTCTTCCCGCGGTCCTCCTGGCCACTGGCGATGGCAACTCTACCCTTCCAGTTGTTTAAGCCAAGAACTCCAGTCATTCTTGCTGCTTTTTTTTCTCTGACATCCCACATCCAATCTGTCAGGAAAATCTCGGCCTTTCCTTCAAAATACAGGCAGAATCTGACCACTTCCAAAGTCCCCGTGTGACCATGCGGGTGGGTAGGGCCCACCACTGTCTCCGGCCTGCACACACCAACTCATCTCCCTCTGAGGCTCCTCCTCTGCCGCCTGGCTCCAGTCCCTTCCCTCACAGCAGCCGATGATCCCGGAAGTTCATTCGCATATGTCCCTCCTCTGCCCCACACCTTCCCACAACTCCCATTTCCCCCAGCTGAAAGGCTCACAAGGTCTGTGTGATCTGATGCCGCCCTCTCCCTCTCGGCCTTCCTCAGACACACCCACACTCACCTCCGTGCAGTTCGTCAGGCCTGTGCCCGGGCTGCCCCTCTCCAGAACACTCTCCTGAAGACATACACACGGCTTACCCCTCACCTCCTTCAAGTGTCTGCTCCAATGTCGCCTTCTCAGCGATGTCTACCCTGAGCACCCTATTTAAAACTGAAACCTCAGCCCTTCACCCTGGGTCTTCTCTCTCTGCCCCCAACAGCACTTTAGTCTTTAATATACTGCATAGAAATGTATTTATACACTCCATTGGCTGTCGTTCCCCCCTGCCGACACACAGGTCCTAAAAGGCAGAGGTTTTCCTTGTTCTGTTCACTGTTGTGTCCCAAACACCAGGAACCGTGCCTGGCCCATATCACCAGGTACTAAATAAACAAAGGACTGCTACACTGTTCGTAAAAGAGCAAAAGTTTAGACACTGAGATACCTGCAGAAGACAGCTAGTTCAAAGGGAAGAGAAAAAGAATCCTATTACACACCGATTTAACATGAATAGCCCCTTTTGTTCAAGTAGATGGAGAAACCAGACCAGGTTAAGTAAAAACCATGTAGCAACAGTCCTTACCAGATATGCTGCCATCAACAAATAAAAGAATAATCTAAAATACCCGTTATTTAATTAACTAACAATGTCGGCAAATGTTAAAGACCAGAATGACCTAAATGCCCACAGGGGACTGGTCAGATTTCACTGTCGCGTCCCCATGGCAGCGCACGACGAGGCCGCGAGTCGGGATGGAGACACTCCTTGCACACGGATGCGGAATGATCGCCCGGACACACCGAGGAGGATGGACGGCAAGGGGGAAACCACCTGTGACTTGCTGCTTGTGTTTAAAACAACAATAAAAAAACGTCTCTAGAAGGCACACAGGAGACTGGTGACTGGTTGCTTTGTAGGTGGGAAAGTCGGGAACAAGGATGAAAGAATTATCACTGTACTTCTTTTTATAGATTTTAAACATATTTGCCAGTCCAACAAAGTAACAAGTCCATTTGGCTGTATGTAATTTGTTGCTAGAATCCTTTTCTCAAAGTCTTTGCATTTATTTTTTATAGCCCGAGACAGCATGGGAAGGAGCAACGGGGGCCGTGAGCTGCCATGTGCCAGGCACCTGATGTATGAGCTCATTTTAGCTCAGGCTCCCGCTTTCCCTCGAGGTGGGTGCTCCCACTCCTGCTTGTCCTGGTGAGGAAACCGACTGAGTGAGATGTTGGGTAATGCCACCACAGCCACGTGTCTGGAAAGTAGCACGGTCTGGATCTGATGCCATCCCCGTCTGCCTCCAAGGGTCACGCCTTCCTGCTCTCTGCCGTCTGGCCTGGCCTGGCCTCTCGGAATCCAGGAGAGAGCAGGCAGCTCCTGGCATTCTTTCTGCCTCAACTCACTCCCCGCCATGACCTCCCTTATGTAATTACCTCACGTGTTAGATCATACATCTGTAAGCCCTTTAACTACTTTGTATTTACAAAGAGACAGTGATATTTGCTCAGAAGATTCCTCTTTCTCATAAGGTGAACCTCACCTTAGTCCATCGCCCAGTCGCCCTCTCTCAGATCAAGCTAACTGAGCCCATTACAGAAGTGTAGAATGACAGGTTCCTCTGCTTTACGTAAAGCCATGGGCTCCCAGCCTGAATTTGGAAAGCAACTGTTCAACGTGAAAAAAACGTGTGTTTGAGGAGGGACGGGCGTCACAGAAAGACTCAGCACCGGCCCTCTCCGCTGCCATCTGTGCACCGCACCTCGGAGAACACGGGGACGTTCAGTCAACTTCAACCACTAAGGCATTCTTTGCTTAAAAGCCAAGGCCAATCTTCAGACTGGATGAACACGGTGACCTGACTTTAAAGGGTTCTACAAGCCTCAAGCAGGGGTGTCCAACCAGCTGCCCACAGGCCGCACGCATCCTGAGATGGCTGGGAATGAGGCCCAACACAAAATAGCAAATTTACTTAAAACATTATGAAATTTTTTATGATTACGTGGCACAATGTATTTAATGTGTGGCCCAAGACAACTCCTCTTCCAGTGTGGCCCGGAGATGCCAAAAGGCTGGACACCCCTGCGGGCGCCAGAGCTCTCAGCAGTTCTGTGATCTCTTTTACATTCTCCCAGATGCAGGAACAAGAGTGGGCTCTGCCCCTTTCTCCTGCCACGCACAACACGCTGATAACCAGGACACGACGCCCACGGGTTCCGATGAGCACGTCTCTGTCTCCCACCCTGGGTATGAGATGTCCAGAACGGGGCCAGCCCCTCCAGCTGGGCACTGGATCCCACGCCCTGTCATCAGCCGAAGAGCATCACCCCACAATGTCTCTCTCTCCTGCATCAACCTGCCCTCTCTACCAGATCCTCCGCATCGGCATACAAACATCTGTGTTGTAGCTTAAAAAACAAAACCCATCTCTCTTAGCTCCTTAATTTTTCCTTTAGTTACAATTTCATTTCTCTCTTTCCCTTTACCTCAAATTCCCTGAAATAACTGCCTATATAAATGCTGTCCAATAGAACTTTCTGTGATGATAGAAATGTTCGTATCTGCACTGTCCAGTATGGTAGCCACTACCTATACACAACTATTAAAATGTGGCTAGTGTTAACTAAGAAACTAAGTTTTTAGTTTTCATTAGTTTAAATGATTTTAAATTTAAATAGCCACATGTGGCTACTGTAACGGCCAGTGCAAGCCTCTCCTCACGCAAGCCTCTCCTCACCGGTGCCCATCGCTCCTCTCCCGTCCTGCCCCTCACCACAGGCCCCTGCTCTCTCTCTCACTGCACCTGCTCTTGCTGAGGTCACACAGCACACCCACATCACAAAATCCAATGGATGAATTCTGGTCCTCATATTACCAAAACTAACCGAAGGTTCTGACACGACCACTCCTATCTCCCTGAAACACCGCCTTCCCTCGGCCTCCAGGACACGGGGGCCTCGGGATTCCCCCACCTCCCTGGCTATGCCCTCGCCACCCCCTCATCTGAACAGTAGGGAGCCCCGGGGCTCAGTCCTTGCACTTCTTTTTCTGCTCACTCATTCCCCAGGAGATCATCCAGTCTCATGGTTTCACACACCGCGCTGATAACCACCAAGTTTGCATCTATAGCCCTAACAGCCTCTCAGACTGCAATTCATACATCATCTCTCCACCTGCATCACCACCTGGATGTTTCATAAGTACCTCAAACTTACCTCCTGTAAACCTGTCCTGGCTTTCCCCCCACCCCGACACCCGTTCCGCTCAACAGCCTTCCCTGTCACGGTTAAAGGAAACTCCATCTTTCCTGCTGTTCAAGCCAAAAACCTTGCGCTTATCTTTGACTCTCTCCTCTCCCATCTCGCACCCACTCCATCCGTTGGTTCTACACTGAAAATAATCTAGAATCTGACCAATAATTTACCTGACCATGTGTCATTATTTTTGCTTTTACCACCATCTCTCAGTTTACTGCAAGAGCCTCCTAACTGGTTTCTCTGCTTTCCTCTTACCTTCTAGTCTACTCCCAACACAGCAGCCTGACTGATGCCGGGACAAACCCACACCCACTCCTGGCCCTCCTCTGCTCGGCACTTCCCACGGCTCCCGCCTGACTGAGCAAGTGCCCTCCTTTAACAGAGCCTGTAAGGTCTGACTGCCCTTGAGCTCTCTGCCCTCAGTCCCTACTACTCCCTCCTGCGTTCACCACCCTGGCCACCCTGATGGCCTGGCCGTTCTCCAACACGACGGCTCCCACCTCTGGGCCTTTGCACCTGCTGTTCCCTCTGTGAGGAATGCTCTACTCCTAGATATGTATTAAGCTGTGTTCTGTCAGGTCTGTACTCACCTGTCACCTTCGCAATCACCCTAATACACATTCCCCCATGCCCACAGTTCCTTCCCATCTCCTCATTTATTATTTTTTACCTTAGCTCCATGAGGGGAAGAAATTCTGTCGGTTTTGTCTCCTGCTAAATCCCCAGCACCTGGAACTGGGCCTGGCTCTGGCAGGCGCTCATTCAATATTTATTGACTGAATGAATGCCGAGGACACAGACTTGCCTCAAGCTACAGATCATGTCACACCTAGATCATCATGAGCCCATCACGCAAGTCCCTGAAGGCACGGACCTGGGATAGGTCACATCCAGTTCCCAGGATGACAGGCTGAGGACAGTGTGGGATAGTTTGGGGGTTACCCTGAAGCAGGCAAAAGGCAGGCTCACCGTGCTGATGTGAAGAGGGAGGTTCTCTGTGTCGGTCTGCTCGTCCTGCTCTGAGGAGTCCGTCTCCTCCATTTGCTGCATCTCCAGTTCAGATGGAAGAAGAGCAGTCAGGTAGGGGATGGAGAAAGGTCGGGCAGCAATCACTGTGGGATGGGAAGAGAGGCACGGTTCCACCGTCACAGAGTCCTCGCGGTGGGCCTAGGGCCTTACGAGAGACTGGGAGCAGCACCAAGTGATAATGATGGCAGGCACACTCCGAGCACTGCTGTGTGTAGAACAGGGCCCTGTTCTACAGGCTTTACGTGCACTGTCTTTAATCGTCACCTCCTCCAAAACAGCTAAGTGCAATTCCCAACCCCATTTTACAGAGGAGGATCCTGAGACACAGTGAGGTTACGTGGCTTCCTCCGGCACCCAGAAAGTAGCAGAGTGGGGTCTGAACTTCAGCAACATAACTTCAGAGCTCACTTTTCCCAAGGACGTCTAAAATCAGACAGAACTGGGGCTGGATCCTAGTAAAGCATCAGCTTAGTGATCTTATACCCAAAGCCAGTTAACCCCTCTCAGCCTCATTTCTAGAGCAGAGATATTGATCCCAACAGCCTGAAGATTCAAGTCAAGTCCAAATATGGACTTGAAGACTCTCAGCATCTAAGTGCATCCACTGAGCTGGAGGGCATTTCAAGTAAATGAACATTTTCATTTTTCCAAAAAGCACTGATGAGAAGGAGAAATTATTGCCCAAATAAATGAATAACTGAATGAATAAATACAAAAAAGTCTCTCTGTATGGTAGAATGTGATTATCAGGAGTCAGTCTCAGCTTGAAAACTACTAGCTGCATGACCTCAGCCAAGTTACTTCTTTTCTCTTCCTTATAAGCACCAGCTTCCTACAATGGTGGTGGTAACAGCATCGGACTCAAAGGCTCCTGTGAGGATTTAATGAGATGGTTTAGGGAAAGTGATTAGCACAGCATGTGGAACTTAATAACCTAGCTGCTATCATTTCAGGGCCCAGCATGCAGCGCACACTCGTCGACTGAATGAATCACTCCAACCACTCTCTCTGGAAAACCTGAGGCCTGCGAAGGGGAGAAGGCTCGGTCCCACGGTGAAGTGGCAGCGCCGAGATGGGAAATGAGAAGGTGCCTGTGCGCGGACTCGGTGAAGGGCAGCGCCCAGCAGGTGTTCTCTAACTGCCCTGCCCGCAGTGCCACTGCCCCTCCTACCTCCAGAGCAGCCACTTCTACTGCATGAGTCTCTCTGGCACCCAGGGATCAGTCACCCTTGAGGTAACCTAAACCAATGTATCTCAAGTGGCCAATCCCAACAGAGGTCATTACTGTTTGGAGTCATCAGTGAGGGACCAAGCCCTCAAGGCCTGGGAAAAGGAGCCAGAAATCTGAAGAACGAGATGCACCCAAGACAAGAACAAAGCTGATTTGTTTCTTCCGGCCATGCTGAGAGTAAGGGAAGATGCTGGGATTATCTCAAATGACAAGACAGGGTCCACAGAGGGGACAGATTCTTACATGGGAATGTGCTGACGTCATCTTTGAAAAGACTCTGGGTCTCGCCTGTCTTGGCCATAAAACGGGTGAGTGCCCGCTCCACGTCACGCCTCTGGGATGCAGCCTTCTCCCGCAGAACCTGGTAGTCGGACACAGGCTCCCGGTAGGTCTAAAAAGAACAGCAAAGACACTAAAGTAACACCAACAGATCACTCTGTTCTCCTCGGGAACCTGCCTTGCTGTTTCTATGTCCTTCCACCCTTTAAATGACTCACTACCATCACTTAGAGCAGAGATCCCCAAAGGGCGATGGAAGGGGGAGAAAGAAATTGATGGAAGTATTATTTACTTTTCATCTGAAAAGTTATGAAATGTACAAATATTTACTGTACATTGACCATGGGTCTTCAATCAGCTCCCATGACAGGTGGTCTTGGTGTAAGAGAGGCACCCTGAAGGAAGAGTGGGAATCCCCCATGGAAGCCCTGAGAGAGACCACCAGTTCCATCAGTGTGATATGACATCATGGAGCACACAGGTGGCTGCTTAAATGGATCTGCACATTGTCCATCTTCTTTAAAAAAAAATATTTATTTTTTAGAGAGAGGAGAAGGGAGGGGGAAAGAGAGGGAGAGAAACATCAATGTGCAAGAGAGATGTCGATTGGTTGCCTCTTGCATATTCTCAACTGGAGACCTGGCCTACAACCCAGGCATGTGCCCTGACTGGAAATTGAACCAGTGACCCTTTGGTTCATAGGCCAGCACTCAATCCACTGAGCTACACCAGCCAGGGTACATCTTGTTTTCTTAATCCAACTTTTGCAAAATGGATATGTCCCCCAAAAAAAATCCCTCAAAGAAATACAAACAGATGATATTAATGTAAGTGGAAGAAAATGGAAGTCTTCACACTCCTGCTCCTAATTCTGAGCTCTTTGGCAATCACTTCGTGGAGTAAAAAATGATTGAGATCTAGTCAGAACAAGAAGCTGGTGAAAACGCTAGTATAGGTAACATTGTAACAATGACCAAAAGAGTAACTACTCTTTGTGACACAGAGATAGTAGTAAAAAAAAAAAATCCTTACCCAAGGATATGTTTATTGATTTGAGAGAGGGAGGGCAGGAGGGATGGAGGAAGGGGGCAGAGAGAGAGAGATGAGTGACTGGGAGAGAGTGGGTGGGAGGGAGAGGGAGAGAGGAACATTGATCAGTTGCCTCACACATGTGCCCTAACTAGAGATCAGACCCACAACCTAGGTGTGTGCCCTGACTGGGGATTGAACCCACATCCTCTTGGTGTATGGGATGAGGCTCCAACCGAGGCATCTGGCCCTGGCTGGAGGGAGAATTTTTAAAGGGGGCACTTGAAAACATTTCCACTGTTGTCGGTGTTAATTCGGCAGTGTCACATGCGTACAGTTCCCACAGGCACACTTAAACACAGGAATGGGAGTTTCCAATGTGTTTAAAATTGTCCCAAAATGAGTGGATTTTGAACATCCTTGTCACAGACATTAAAAATGCGAGATGTTAGCATCATTTTTAAGAAAACTGAGATTCAGAAAGTTGGAAATTGAACAGAAAATTTTAAACAAAATTTTTCAAATAACTGGTAAATGGGAATGAAAATATAGTTTTGTGATGTATTAAGGGGAGCTAATAATGCTGCATATGTTTGTAATGTGCCTTTTTCAACCATGAAAGCTGTTAAAGTATTTGAATGAACTGATTTTAGAACAGAACTCTAACTTACTATTCCACAAAGATTGAAGGCCTATAATTTCAGAAACTAAAGAGCAGAGCTAATCGCATGGTGGCCCCTATAACAGAGCACAGGTATCCTGAACCTTCAGTAATGACCATATCATCTTTTAATGTCCATTTTTTAGTAGAGTGTTACATTTAATATTGATATAAATAAGCATGAATGTGTATTAGAGTATGTACTTAACATTTTTACTGACAGAAATACATTATAAAAGAGTTAGAGACTGCTATTGGTTGAACTGTGTCCCCAAGTGTATGGCCATACCACCCTGAATGTGTCTGATCTCATCTGAACTGTGTCTCCGAAAAAGTAGGCTGAAGTTCCAATCCTCAGTGTCTCAGAACACGACCTCATTTGGAAAAGGGGTCACTGCAGATGTGTTCAGTTAAGAAGAGGTCAAACAAGAGCAGGGTGGGACCCTACTCCCATACAAATGACACCCTTGTAAGAAAATGCCCCATGAAGACAGAGGGCTGGAACGCTGCCCGTATAAGCTGAGGAACGTCCACAGAGCGCCTACAAACCACCAGAAGCTAGGAAAGGCACAGAAGGATTCTCCTACAGGTCCAGAGGAAGCAGGCCCTGGCAACACCTTGACTTTGGACGTGTACTCTGCAGAGTTGTAAGACAAAAAATTTCTGTTGTTCTGCAGCACCTAGGGTTTGTGGCACTTGGTTTCAGCAGCTCTAGGACACAAGTGCAGAACCTACTGGTCAAGAGCAACAGCGGTGCTGCAATGATGGGTGATGGACTGTTCCTTCCCCCAGCGTCCTGGGTACGCAGAAATGTCCTGGAGGGCTTGTCTCTCTCTGCTGCCCACGTGATGCCACCTCTGCACCCGCACCCAGGCTGGAGGCGGGGAGAAAGGAGGTGTGTGGAAGAGCCTCTGGGGACCCCTCTGCACACCGCACCGTTCCCAAAGGAGGGCGACACTGCTAATCTGGCGAAAGAGGACACATGTGAACTTGGAAGACAGCTCCATTGGTCTTCATTCAGACCCAGAACCAGAGTTACAACAAGTTTCACTTCATGTTGCCACCAAGTATGTTTTAAACAACCTTTACCCCAATTTCAAAAATAACTCCTTTTCTATGGAAAATTTGGAAAACCCAGAAAAGCACACACAAACAACAGTGACCTATGGCCCACTGAGAATTACTGTGAACATTTTGTGGAATATCCTTCCAGTCTCTTAACATGGCTAGGCCCTTCTGTGTTTTGGTGGAACGGGCAAAACTGCACAGACCCCAATTTCTTGTTAACCATATTTCTATCAGCCAGCTAGAGAACATAATTCTCCTTTGCCAACATGTTTATCAATAAGAAAAGACACTGTGAGCTCTGAGCCCACCTTTTACCAACAAACTTGTGGTCCCACAGTCAGCAGGAACTCACTGCTGTGCATCAGTCACAGCCCCCACCACATCCCCATCACTCACCGGAGTTTTGATGTAGGTGTGGGGGTCGGGGAACTCAGGGAAGTGGCTGGGGATGTGCGGTGGGTGGGGTCGGTTCTGCCCTGCAGTTAGAGCCTTGGGGGCCACCGGCTGATTGGTCACGGGAGCTGCAACAGAGTCACCACGTGTTATTCCTCCACCCAAACCCTGCTCTTCTCAAAGTAAATGCTGGACCTCAATTTTCCGAACCTCAGGTACTTTGTACTTCTATTTTAATAGACCTATAAGGACTTAAGGTCCTGAGGTCACCCCCATATGCCTAGCCCTGCTGAATGACCTTGGGTGACACTCCCATCTACAACAATCTGCCTGCATGCCTCTTAGGCAGGTGAGTGGGTGGCTGTGACAACGTCCACTTCACAGAGGAGCTTGCTGAGGACGCTGAGGAACTAAGGAGTTAGACGGGCTGCTAACTCACTTTTCATGGAGCTGAGATAGTGAAGACATACAATATGCCAGGGTAAGTAAGTGTGGGCCAATGACAGCAACAGGGGGCTGAAAATGGCACCTTCCATTGCTCCTGGACAGGGAAGCTCTTCAGAAGATGCCAGCTTGAAAAAAGTGATGACGAAAAAAACTAGTGACTTCTCCCCAGGTCCTGTAAGCCCACACTCATTAGCCCAAACTCAGTTCACAGTGCTCAGTTTCTCTCTAAGGCACAGGTGATCGTACTTGTTGTGTAGAGACAGAGAGAAAGTATTCTAGGTTCTGCAGGCCTGCAGTCCGCCACCGCTGCTCAGTGCTGCCATCACAGAACGAAGCAACCAGAGCAAGGAAACACAGCTGTGTTCCAACAGAACTTCGTTTACAGAGACAGGTGGTGGGCTCCATCAGGCCTACAGACCATAGTTTCTGACCCTCGATCTCAGGAAGAACAAGAGCTGTAGCATTTTTCAAGCAGCATCAACTGCCCTCCTGGGGCTAAAGCACAAGAACCACAGCAACATCTCAGAGACGGTTTTCCTTTCCAGTGACTGAGTTTCATATCCCGGCTGTATTAGCCCAAACAAAGATTATATTATAGGTATCCCCAAATAATGGAGGGGAGCCTGCAATAAGGAGGTAGCTAAACAAACTGATCCTGCCCTATTCAGTTAGTTTGTTCCACAAGCATGTTGAGAGTTACTGAGAACCTCAGCTCAAAGGCACTTACGGGCAGTGATGACCATCCTCTGAGACCGTTTTGCATAGGCAGGGAGAGTGTCCACATTAAAACCTAAATATTAAGAAAACAAAAGTCACTGCCCAGACCACTGGATGCTGAACATGGAAGAGGGAATAATATTGTGTTGAAATAGCTTAAACTCCCAACTCAAGGGTTTTGCTGCCACCGAGAAGCAGCTTCAGCAGAAACCCCAACAGGAGTGAGGAGGTCTGTTAAAGGGAACCTCCTATTGATAACCCTCCCAGGCTAACAGCAGACCAGAAGAACCATGAGGGATTTCAAAAAACACTCAGCAGATGCAACTGACTCCTGGGGACTCCTGTCTCTCCCATAACTCCAACTCAGCTGCACCAAAGAATTGGAAACTTGTGTACTCACCCATCTCAACAAGTGTGACCACGATATCTGACAGCGTGGGCTGGGTCCTAGCTGTGTGCTCACAGTAGGACTTGGCACTCCTCCCAATTTCTGAAATGTCTAAGAAAGGATCAAAGGCATCAAGTCTTATTCTCAGTTCCACAAAGTTAAGTACGGAATTACCATATGAGCCAGCAACTCAACTCCTGGGTATATACCCAAACAAACTAATTGAAAGCAGGAAATCAAAGAGATACTTGCATACCAAGGCTCATAGCAGCATTATTCACAATAGTCTGAAGGTGGAAACGATGCAGTGCCCACTGAAAAATGAATGCATGAACAAAATATGGTCTACACGGTCTGTCCAGAAAAAGTCCAGCCATTGTTACTATAACGAGAACAGTTTATGTGACATCGATGTAACTTGGCAGCCAAGGAGTTGACTAGAATGTGTATGTGTGAATGACAACTTCACTGTCCTAGTCAGTGGGGCCATAGATGCCACTGAGTGAGCATGTGTACAGTGTGGCTGTCACATTCAAAATGACTGAGCAAGTACAGCAACGAATCTGCATCAAATTTTATGTTGAGCTTGAACATTCCTCTGCAGAAACTATTCGGATGATTCAGAAGGCTGCAGCTATGGGCAGCTTCATCATGACAACATGCCTGTTCATGCATCATGTCTTGCAGAGTTTTTTTTGCCAAACATCAAATCACCCAGGTGACTCAGCCCCCCTATAGCCCAGATTTGGCACACTGTGACTTCTGGCTTTTCCCAAAACTAAAATCACCTTTCAAAGGGAAGAGATTTCAGACCTTTGATGAGATTCAGGGAAAATACAATAGGGCAGCTGATGGTAATTGGGAGAACCGTGTGAGGTCCCAAGGTGTCTACTCTGAAGGGAACTGAGGTGTCATTGTCCTGTGCACAATGTTCCTTGTATCTCATATCTTCTTCAATAAATGTCTGTTTTTCATAGTACATGGCTGGATACCTTCTGGACATACTTCATATCCATACAACAGAAATATAAGAAAGAAATAAAGGAATAAAGTACTGAGACACGCTACAACATGGGTGAACCTTAAACATGTTACGCTAAATGAAATAAGCCAGACACAAAATCAAATGTTTTCAGATTCTACTTATAAACCAAAAAAACAATTCATAGAAACGAAAAGTAGATCAGAGGTTACCAGGGACTGAGGGTAAAGGGGATTAGGGAGTTGTCATTTATGGGCACACAATTTCTGTTTGGAATAATGAAAAAGGGTTAACACTGTGAATATATGTAATGCCACCGAATTGTATACTTAAAAAGGGTTAAAATGGTAAATTTTATGTTATGTATATCTTGCCACCAAAAAAAAAAAAAAGGTCTTATTATCTATGTTGTCCGCCTAAAACTGAACCTCTGTTTGTTTAAGAGTCCTGCTAGCCCTGCCTGGCTGGAGCGCCATCCTGAAACCAAAGGTTTCATTCCTGGTCAGGGCACATGCCTGGGTATGATCCCCAACTGTGGGAGACAATCAACTTATGTTTCTGTTTCTCTCCCCCGCCCCCCTTCCCCTCTATCTGGAGTGAGGACAAAATAAACCTTTAGAAAAAAAGTCATGCTAGCCCTGACTGGTGTGGCTAGGTGGGTTGGGTGTCGTCCCTTAAACGGAAAGGTCACTCACTGATTGTGGGCCGGGTTCCTGGATGGTGGCAGGCAAGAGGCAACCAATAGATGTTTCTCTCACACACCAATGTTCCCCTCTCTGTCTCCCTCATTGCCCTCCTCTCTAAAAATAAATGAATAAAATCTTTTTTTTTTAGAAAAGACATTGAGAAACATTGTGTTTTTTTAAAAGATTTTATTTATTTATTTTTAGAGAGGGAAGGGAGGGAGAAAGCAAGAGAGAGAAACATCAATGTGCGGTTGCTGGGGGCCATGGCCTGCAACCCAGGCATGTGCCCTGACTGGGAATCGAACCTGCGATGCTTTGGTTCACAACCCGAGCTCAATCTACTGAGCTATACCAGCCAAGGAAAATCTTTTTTTTTTTTTAAATGTCTTTTTAAATAAAAAGAATCACGCTAAAGTCCTTCAGGGGAAAGGGGAAGGTATGAAGCTAGACTCAATAAATAGGCCTCAGAAGTGGTTGGGAAAACTGAAACCATGCTCAATTTTACATGCAATTTTACAAAAAAAGCCATTTTCTGGGGATGGGTCCACAGAATTCATCAGATGTAAAAGGGGTCCAATGAGGTATGGAACCCCAGCGGTAGAGGCCTCATGGTTCAGAAGATACAAGCAAGTACTGCTTGACTGGGAAGGGTGTCTAAGTGAAAACCTATCCCCAATTTGCCGTGCTACCCCAAGCAAGCCACTAATACTAGCCCCCACACGTGAAAACAGTGGGCAGCATGTGTTTACTGAGGAGAGAATCTAGTGGGAACTACCAGATCACTCCTTTAATTCTCAAAGTGTGGTTTGGGAATCCCTGGGTAACCCTGAAAAACTTTCCGAAGTCCACAGGCCAAAACTGCTTCCATAATAAAATTAAGACATTCTTTGACATTTTCCATTCATTCTCTCATGTAGTTTTCCAGAGGCTTTATGATGTGCGATGAAATCATGGTTCTCATGGATAACAGACCTCATCCTTGTTCATTCTTATGTTTTAAAATTTTCTGTTTTATTGGGAACTGTCCTGCCTGGTTTCAGAAGCTGTAACCCCACTGACAGGCAAAAAGGCCCCACAGCTAGGGGACCTTGGGACCACAAGTCACTAAGGAGACAAAACTTATCCTCCTGGCAGGGGTGCAGCCTCTGCCCCCTTTACTTCATTCTGCTTGACCCCTGTAGGATGGCTGGATAGTCAATGATGGGTAAGATTCCTCAAAAAAGGAACAACCTAAGACAGACACAGTCATGAAGGGGCCATCAGGGAAGGACTTAGGGGATTGTGGAGAAGGGACAAAGAACCACCCTCACCCTTCAGCTTTATCATAGCTTGAGTCCTCATTCTATCTGTAAAAACTCTTCTAATCTCTTGGCTGCCTTGCTCCCCACCCCCAATTCAGGCCTGAAACAATGCCAAAGGGGGTGCAGCCCTGTGCCAGAACTGCCAGTTCCTGGTGGGGCAGTGATCAGGCCTAAGAAAGAATGCATAAAGTCCTGTGAAACCTGCTTTGCTAAGAATGTCCTCAATTTAAATGTTAAGGGCCTGAGCACAAAATAAGTTTGTTTCCCAAGGTTTTATATCCAAATGGCATCGCCCTGTCTACCAGACCCTGATTCAAAAGGATCCCTGTGATCTCAGAAATGTTACCTGTAAACCACACCTCCTTTCTTTGATATGCATCCCCATGCAAACTAAACTCAAAAAAAGCCCATTGAGAGAGAGAGGTGAAACACCTTTCTCCTGTGAGAGACTGGTCAGCCTATCCTCCCCAAGCAGATCACGTCTTGGTAGAATTATTCTCATCAGCAGCAGCCAGGGGAGCTCTGCTGGATGAAGCTTCCCCACAGTTTTACTTTCTAATGTGGAGATATATATATATATATCTCCATACCATGTATATACAACCCTACAAGGTCCTCAATATTTAAGAGTCCACAGAGGTTCTAAGACCAAAAAATCTGAGATCACTGATTTAGGAAAACATGGTACGTGAAAGCTCCAAACTTCATAGAGCCACCTCACCCGGGTCTTGCCCTTCCTGGGGCAGCCCACATCCAGGGACCCATCAAGACCAAAGCATGAAGGCAGGGCCTTTTCCCTGATATGGGACACCTGACGGGCAATTACCACTCTTGTGCTCCACAATGAGGTGGATGGTTTTTTGGCTGGCTGGCATTGCAGTTCAACTCCCTCTGCCTAAACCTTTCCTTTGCTTCCATTCATAGGTGTTGATTCCCCCCAAGCACCTTAAATACTCCCATCCTGCATCCTATCCTACCCCTACAAAGGCCCAAACACAGAAATACATTGTATATGCAGAAAAGCTGATATGAGACCATTCCAGGGTCCTAACCCTCAAGACGTTTCCTTTTAAAAGTGTTTTTTTAAACCACTGTATAAAACTTATTCACTCTTACTCTTTGTATCTTTGTACATAATACATCATTTGATCATATCATGTGGTGGCATCTCTTTCATAGGAATTAATCCTAACTGTCCAACAAAACTAAGTTCTTTGAGTATAGAACACAAACAGCAATAATAACAGCACCAGCAAGTCATTAAGAGCTTACAATGTTCCCAGCATTGAAAGATTTACATATACATCTCACCCATACCCACAATTGCTGACGTGCAAATTACTATTCCATTTTGCAAATGAGGAAATTAAGAGTCAGGACATCTAGCAACTTGCCCAAGCTATTAAGTGGCAGATGGATGACTTATACCCAAGTCTATCTGATTCTAAAGCCTGTAAATCACTTTACTATGTTCTTCTTTTTCTTAAATCCTCTCTAACACTATCACAATGCAGAACACAACACAGATGTCTGGTTAACTTAAAGAAGGCCTACCGTTTCCTGGTACTTACAGCTCTGCAGCATCTCTGTCAGTGTTTCCACAGATGCTTTCTCAGCACTCTCAAACCCTGCTTCTGTCAGCAGGGAGCTCACAACCACTTGCAGGGTTCGCCTCCGGGCCAGATAGTAGTTATCTGCAGGGTTAGTGGACTGTTTACCTCCTGATCTCTGTGAATCAGCAGCCCAAGAAGGAGAGAAGATTTTCATTCACTGGACAAGGATGTAATCACATAGTCCACACATCGTCAATGGCAAGCAAACGTTCTTTTGCTAAATACTTACTTATCAGTGCTTAATAAAATGATAGCCCTTGATATTTAGACTTACAGATCTTGGCCAAAAAAGTAATAATTGAGCACCCAAGGGGCTCTAAATACGGAGACAGCCTTTCTGCTTCCCTAAAACTTAAAATTCTAATAACGCAAGTGTCTGTTTCGTACTTTCTATTTTAGCAGATTATCAAAATCTACAGCTGCAGAAACACACATGATCGGATTGAATTTATGTCTCTCCGGAAAAAAAAAACCCTCTCTTGTTCCTCCCATCTTCATACCATTTCACTAACAAGGAATATTTAAACAACACATGACACTGAGGAGAGGAGGGCAAAGGATAACAGCACGGAAAAGTAGGAAAGCTAAATATTTTGAAACAGAAATCCCTCCCAACTTTGGCTAGCCAATAAGAGGGCGAAAACGGTCTCTTCCGACCAATCAGGAGATGTTCCGGGTTCCCAACCCCGAAACGAGCCAATCAGCACACAGACTCTCCAACTCTGAAGGCCGCCGCCAAGTCCCTAAGGGGGGGGGGGCATGTACGGCCTGAAAGACCTTTCTCTATTCGGAACTCATGGTGGGGCTGGATGTATGGGTATAAGCTGTTGCCCAGGTTAAGGGAAAATTATAGAACACCCAGACTTTCTCACCTTCGACCCCGCGCCCTCCCTCTTACCGTTCCGGAGCCACCGGCCCCGGCAGTGGCCGTCGCGTCGGCCATCTTGCTCTGGCGTAATGTGCGCGGGCGCAGGGCAGGATGGGATTTGTAGTCGCCGGGCGGGGAGGGGTGGTGCGCGCGACTCTGAGTTTTCTTAAGCTCAGCGGAGTGGGAGCTGCTTTTGATGACTTGGTTCACGTGACCTCCAGTGAACTACGGGTTGACGGCGCCCCAGTGAACCTCGAAACTGTGCCCTCGGTTTCACACCTTTCAACCTGAAATCGTTTCTCATAAAGAGCACACCCCCTGGAACGCCCCAAAATTGAGTGTCAGCAACATCGGGCTGGGTCCCGCCCAGTGCCAGTAACTCACAGCCTGTCGGAGGGGCCGTAGTATATGTAGTGTTATTTCTGCAGATGATTCTCCCGAGCTGGAAATTCTGGGAAATCTTACGTTGTGTTGTGACTTTACAGCCCACCAATGACCCGCTTGCAACTAGAACCTAACCTAGTCTAGGTCTTCTACTGTACCCTCCTGCCCTCAGTTAATCCGCAGGTATTTGTGGGACCGGCTGGGAAGCGCAGGCCGAGGCAGCCCGCCTCTGTCCCCTGCCCGCCTCATTCCCAGGACCTGCGGTGCCTGTGGGTTTTCTGTTTATTTGCTCGCCAGCCCCTTGGAATGGGGGTTCTTCGGACTGGGACCGCACCGCGCCTTATTCCCTCCATTCCCCGCCCGGTGACTACACCCCCAATGCCTGGCTGGACGCAGTCTCCACCCCCAATGCCTGGCTGGACGCAGACGCTAGGTTTGAATTCTCACACTCGCTAGCGGTGGGAGTACGGGCGTAAGACCTAGCCTCACTGTGCCTCAGTTTCCTCTTTTGTGAAACGGGTGGGACTGATAGGGGAAATAAGATCAAATACAAAGGGTCTATCGCGGTGATAGACATATAAGAGGTGGAGAAACATCGCCTACTGTTGTTTATTTCCTGGGTAGCGCGTGGTTGAGTGACGAATGCCCTGAAGGCTTAAGTCTGGAGACCTACGCCGCACCTGCCCAAACACGCGGCGGGGGGCACCTCCAACTCCTCACCTAGGGTACGGGGGTGAGGTCTACAGGCCCTAACCTTAGCTGAGCCGAGCATTCAGCCCCCTTTTCGTCTCCCCCGCCCCCTCTTCCCCCACTTCCTGCCCAGCTTTAAACTTGCGTTCCCCGGCTCTACAAGGACTTTGTAAACACGCCGCGCCTGCGGGGGTGGAGACTGATTCTGTTTGGGCTCCTAGGAGAGTGTGTACGCCCCTCCCGGCGGCAAGAGGTTGCGACCCCTCACTCCCCCACATCCCCAAGACAGAAGCCAGAGGCTGCGGGAGAGAGTGTCTGCGGCGACAGTGCATGCTCCGGGGGGCTCACCCGCCTAGGAGGTAGGCTTGTGAAGGCTGGAGAAGCCAAGATAATGGGGGGTCAGTATTCCCCTTCCCTGGAGCCGCCAAGGGTCAGGGTTGGGAGGTGAGTGGGTTGAGGTCACCGCTCTCTGATCACCTAGTTGTCCCTCAGAGCTGGGCTCACTTTCTGAGTGAGCTGTTCTCCATATAGTTAAAGGGCAGTGAAACCCCACGGAAGCCCTGAGTGTTTTCTTATGTGCGCATAGCCCCCTTCCAAGCTGGTGTCGAAGCCCAGTGGGCTGTTGTTGTTCTACATAGATCAGAGACGGAGGTAGGAGGCAAGTAGGAGGGCAGAACCGGTGTGGGCAGGGAGCCTTTGGTTCTCCTGCTAGCCAGGGCCAAGGGAGGAAGCCAGAGGACAGAACTGGAAAGAGGAGCTCCTCAGTGTTCATTCCTCTGGTGTCTGATGGGTACACAAGTGGTAGCCTTAGTCTCTTCTGTGTCAACAAGAGGAATAACTGAAGAAAGCGGTTTGCTGTTACTAAAGGAGCTTTGATGTGTTCATTTATTTCCAAACATTGATTGAGCACCTACTGTGTCTGGGATTGTATTGGATCCTGAGGGTGCAGTGATGTTATTCACCTGCACCCAGTGTGGGTCCTGAACAACAGAGATAAAGCATTAGCTGGCAAGGCTTCAGAGAGAAGAGGACATTCGAGTTGGGTTCTGACTGATGAATAGTCACCAGACCGAGAAGTTATGGGAAGTCTTTGGGGACACTTATTCATTGCACAGAGTTGTACTGAGCCCTGCTATATTGCCCTAACCCTAACCCAAACCCAGATCTAATCCCCTGTCTAGGTATGAAAAAGAGGTGATAATGAACAGGCTGAATTCAGAGAAAGGGCTGGTCTCCAAAACCCCAAAAATTCTCAGCTAGGAGGGTTCCCCTGGGGGCAATGTGACAGTCCACACAATCTTGGGGCACCTGCTCCTCATCCCTGGACTCTAGGGTTATTTCCTTTAACAAATCCTCACTCTGTGTCCAGCACCGCAGTTCTCTTTGGGACAGGACGTGGGTGAAGAGAGCCAGCTCTGATTGCTTTTCTGCAGATTCTTCTGCTCTTTCAATTCCCAGGCTCTTTCGGGAGGTGATTGATGCAACAATTTATGGATTCATTTAACAGCTGTCTGCTATGGCCAAACTCTGTCTGTATACGCTAGATGTTGGGGATATAATGGTGAACAAGTCAGAGCTTCTGCCCCCTGGAATTTACAATCAAAAGCGTCTCTGAGAATTCCAGCTAGATACCAGTCTATGCCCAGTCCTTGAGACCGTGACCTCCATGGTGCCAAACACCTTCTCTTTCCTGTTTCCTTCCCTCTAGGGTTTAGAATACTAGCTCCCGCTTATGTAGCTTTGTCAGGTACTCTTCTAAATGTTTTAGGTGTAATGTCTCATTTAATCCTCTGAACAGTCCTATAAGGTAAGCACTAGGATTATCCCCATTTTATAAGTGAGGAAATTCATACGGACAGGAGAGAATTTTCCTAAAGAGGGCACCAGAAATAAATGGCAGAGCTGGGATTTAAACCCAGGTCACTTGAACCTTGGCTGATGTGGCTCAGTGGGTTGAGCATGAGCCTGTGAACTGAAAGGTCACTGGTTTGATTCCTGGTCAGGGCACATATCTGGGTTGCTGGCCAGGTCCCTGGTTGGGCGTATGTGAGAGGCAACCGACGTTTCCCTTATGTTTCTACGCTTCTTTCCTTCTCTTTCTCCCTCCTTTCCCCTCTCTCTAAAAATATAAATAAACTCTTAAAAAATAAAAATATAAACCCAGGTCACTTGACGCAGAAGGCTCTGTATTTAACTGCTAGGAAAACCTACTTCCTTGCCTAGCCTCATAGAATATGCACTTGAGCCAGGGGCTTAGGAGTTGCCAAAAGGGACTCCATGGTTCTGTATGTTGGGTGATACAGAGGAATCTGTTAGCTGAGCGTGTGTGCTAATACTGTTTACAGGTAGGGTTGGGACGACTGCACAGAACCGGTATCCTCTCTTAGGGGCCCTCTGTGTGTGTGTTTCCTAAGCCTCCCTTATCAAGAGGAACGGACCAAGGATTTGATGCAAGAAAGACTGCAACATTGATGTAATGTGCCAGAATCTGGGAGATGGGAAACTGAGACGTCCATCTCTTTTGTTGGGAATCCTTAGGACTAGCGGAGACTGCACTGGCTGGTGTGGCTCATTTGGTTGGAGTGCTGTCCTGTACTCCAACATGGTTGGGGGTTCAGTTCCAAGTCAGGACACATACCTAGTTTGCAGGTTCGAGCCCCACCTGGGGTGCCTATGGGAGATGACTAATCAGTGTTTCTCTCTCACATTGATGTTTCTTTCTCTTCCTTCCTTTCTCTCTAATATTAATACACATTTTTAAAAATAAAAAAAGAATAGCAGAGACCCTCATATTCTAGATTCCAGGAGGAACAGTCCCCGGTAACTGAGTAAGGAAGACGGTCAAGGAGTGAAGCAACCATAAGATGCTTACCCCTTCCCCACGGCTGCTGCACCCCAAAGCTGCATCTGTGGGTCTGACCCTGCGCCTCCAGGCAGGCTGGGACCACGCCTGTTACAGAAACTAGGCCACAGGGTAGAGGTTCCATGGATTCCAGCCATTTTAGCAGAACCTTTCTGAAACTCCAGGTTTCTCACAGGAGCCCTCCGCACAGATCTGGGGAAACCCCGAGGCTGTCTTCTCTGCCTGCAGTCAGTCCTGCAGTCAGTCCGTCCCCACCGGTCTGTCTTTGAGAGAGGGGTGTGTGTTGGAGGCATGGGTGTTGGTGCTGGGGCTCCCGGTGAGAGGGGGGCCACACCAAGGTCACAGGTGAGCAGGATGTGAACATTCAGAACTATGCTGGCCTCCAGGCTGCTTCCCTGCCATATCATCCCCTTCCTCGCTCATGTGTAGGTGGGTAGGTGGGTTCTGTGGAACCTTCAAGTGCCCCAGCCCGCTGCCCCAGGCACACTTCTGGCTGGGGAAAAAGAACAGGTTGTTCTCTTGAGAAACCACAAGAGGAAGTTTAGGGAGGGCTGGGGCGGGGAAAGTTCTGGGGCCCCTGCCAAGTTTCCCTTTCAAAGCCCAGTGGGTAGATGTGTTTATTTTGGTGTGTTTCTCCTGCCCTCAAAGACATTTAACTTTTAAACCCTCTGAGTTTTAAAGAGCTGCTGAGGCCTGCCCCATTACAACAGAAGGGTGCGTCCAGGGACACTTCTGGAAAGGGTTTTGGGACAAGGTACCCATTTTGGGGATTTCACCTGGGATTCATGCTGGTTTGGAAAGGTGGAGTAACTCCCAGAAAGTCTCCTTTTCTCCTTCTGACCTTTCACCTTGCTCTTCCCAAAGCACTTCCTGCAGCCCTGCGTTCCTCTGAGGAATGCGGTTATAAGCTGAGTAATGTTGCCAGGAGCTGTTCTAAATGTTTTGACCACCTTATCTCACCTCATATTCACCACAGCTTCAGGTAGTAAATACCCTAAACCCCTATTTACAGACGGGGAAACAGGTTCTGAAAGGCTAAGAACTTTGCCTGAGGGTCACAAGCTAGTAAGTGGCAGAAGTCAGATTTGAACACTGGTCTGATTTCAAAGCCTGTGCTCTTGATGTCTAAATTAACCCCCAAATGGAGCATCAACTCCCCCAGCCTATCAGACCCTGAATGGTAGGGAGTTTGGAACCCAAAGATTAAAAATGATGC